CGTACTGTAACATCTTGACAGTTTCACATTCAACTTCACAGTCAATTCCAGTGCTAGCCGTTTCTGTAAAACTACAGTGCAGTGCACAGGAAAACAAACTTTTTAACACATGAGATTTACATTCACTGCCATGAGACAACAGAAAAGGTGTGAGTCCCACATCAAGGCAGCAGTTCTTAACCAAACTCAGACTTGATAGTAGTGCAGGTCAATTATTAAGCAGGTTAGTTAGTCCTCGTGATATGCACGATGAGCAAGTAGTCTAATTTTCCTGTAGTGCCATGTAAATATAGTAGCATTCAAGGCCAGGCATTGAAAAAATGTTTGTATTCACTCATGATTAATATGCATGGTAACGTCGCAGAATATTCGCAAGGGTGCTCCTAAATCAACATTCATGATAATGTTTAATTTGAATAATCATCATGACTCAGTTGTTTGGTTGCTAACTCTAATATAATTAGTTTCATCTAATTTACCAGGAAAATGGCTTTAAATCAACTGCCCACATATGTGGTCACAATGCATGAAAGTGTTAATAGTGTAAATGCATTGTGTTTGTGCATGTATGTCTCTCTTTTCTGGTGAATATGTGTGTGTGGCTGTATTTGTGTGGGCTTTTTAAGGGCTGTGGGATTGCATGTGAGTGTGTATATATGTGTTGTCAGTGTGTGTATTGAGGCACACTGTCAGCCTTCTAGTTTAGGTTTCTAGGTTTAGTTGAATGTGTTTTGTAAATAAGCACTTTTTAAGTGTTGCATTATGATTTTTTTTTTGCTAATGTAAGAAGATTTGTTTATTTTAGGGGCTGCCGTGGAAAATTAGCCATGTGGCTAAATCTGGCAAATTTACATTTTGAGATTATGGTGCTGATTTGTCAGTATTGTCCCTGTTAAATAAACAAATAAAGTAGTTACAACAGCAGTGAGTCAATTGAAGATACTTGTTTCATGTTTTATGTGTTTGTGCTGAAAAAAAGGTAGTAAATTGTACTCGTCTTTAAACTGGTCAAAAAATAATATTAGACAAAAAATGTCATTTCAGTGTTTTCCCCAAAATCACTTAGTCCTAATACTAGATTTTTTAATAAGTCAAGCTTTTTGTAGCTGCTGTTTGTAGCTATTGTTGTGTTTGCATGTTTTTGACAACTTATCAAAGAATAATGAGAAACGCAGTTGCACAAGAAAAAGAGCGGATTTTCTTATTTTCCCTGGAGAGGATGAAATTTCAATAGCATGATCTGAGCCCTGTTTTTTCATTGAGGTGCTTTATATCCATAAAGTCATGTCAGCATTTAATTTGTTCTTGGCTCTTGACATTGATTTACAGTCGAGACAGCACTGAACAGATACCAGGTTTCCGTAACGGGAGGGAAAAAAATGACTGATATTGATCCAATACTGTAACAAATCTGTCCTGAAATAGCCTATACTCACCATGTGTGTGATGTTCTTAGCTGTGTATTTCTTCCTGGACTGTTTGAGTGGTTTTATCGTGATAGTCTACCCTTAGAAGCTCAAGAATGGTTAAGAATTGTTAACGGTGGTGGTGATAGAAACCAGACATCTGAGGAGTTTAATCCCTCTAAAAGCTACCTCTGAATATGCTGCCTGATGCATTTGACTTTGTTTAATGATAGTTTTGAGAATGTTTTGGCTTAAAAAGTATTTTTTAAATTAAGGAAATAGTCGCAAAAGAAAATCCATCGTTTTACCATTGTCAACATTAGATGTACAACTCAGAAAACGTATGTAGGTTCACTAGTTGTTTTGAATTGTAAATGAAATAGCAGTATTGGCATTGCAGACATTGCAACCCCTGGTTCCTATCAACAACTGTAAAGAAGATCTGAGTCTGTAAGTTTCTCTACAATGCACTTCACATCAAACCAGTCTGACTTTGTTTACTCCTCAACCACTGAATTATGCAGAGATTTTGAAAAAACAGTGGAATTCCCCTTTAAGTATAGTGCTTCAATTAAAAATAGCTTAGTATTTTTTTTCAGTTGAATCATAACTGACATCAGCCAGTATCAAGGTTTCAGTGTCAGTATTAGAAAGGAAAAAGTGGTATTGTGTCACCTCTGATTTACAGTGTTGTAGCCACATTGTTTGTGAAGTGGATTGCTGATTTTGTGATTGGTAGCTTTTACCCTCTCTTGCAAATTAAAATTGTGTTGCAGTTGTTTTGTGTTAAGGTTGTTTTGAAATGGCATGATGGTGTACAGTGTATGTGTGACAGCTTGAGGAAGGCTGTAGTTTCCATCCCAGGCTGTGGCAGGCTGAGTGGGCTTCAGATTAAATACAGTTGAATGTAGGCTACGTGGAGGAAACAACTGCCAAGACGACACATTTGCACAGCAAGAGAGGCCAGTTCTTACAGTGCTTCCTCACTAACACGTGGCAGCACAGTGTAAAAGTGTGCATAGTGCTTGTTTTTGTACAGTTTCAGGACAAAAATGTCAGAAAAAAACAATGCTAGCCTAGAATCAAGGAGGGAGGGATTAACAAGTCCTGACTTTGTGTGTTTTTTACAAAACTCAAAAAGTTGCATTTTTAAAACTTTGATTTTTTTTTTATCAACAAAGTTAATGTGAGTCTGTGTTTGCATTAAAATGAGATACCTAATACTGCATGCTACTCTATTTTCACATATTTATACTGTGTAACGTCATTAGGCCTATTTGATATCTGCTAACCCAGATCAGGTTTTGGGCTGTACATCAGGCTTGCATGTGTATATATATATATATATATATATATATATATATATATATATATTATATTATTATTATATTTTTTTTTGTTTGCATTCTAATTGAAGGTATTTGTGCCTCAGATTTGTAGCTTTTTATTTGAAGAAAAGTGCCTACATACATTTTGTGCACTAAAATGGTATCTGCAATAATCCATCTTTGGTAAAGCGAGTTCAGGTCGAGTTTGAGTTTCAGCTTTAGGGTGTGTTTATAGGCTATTGTTCTGTTGTAGTTATGGTTTGCTTAGCTTTCACACTGACATATTTAATACTGAACCAAAAGATGTTAACAAAAGTCATACGAGTAAAAGGTCACAACTGATTGAGCAGATTTTATGACATACAATAACTGTGATAATGCCCACCAAACTTTCTGCTGTTCTCTGTTCTGTGTGGCCTCAGTGGTTTTATTTTTTTATCTTGTTAATTATTCTTGTGATGAGCAATAAGCAATGAGACTCCCTGCATTACAGTGGTTTGGAACAATGCAAAGCAGGGTGAAATCCCTATAACAGCCTCGAGTGGTTTACTGCTTTTACAAAACAGAGAAACCTTGGCACATTAATACATAGTTTATGTGTGCAGGCAAGTATGTATTGAGTATTTTAGAATGGCTTCAAACATGTCTCAGCCTTGTTTCAAAACTGAAACTATCCATTCTATTTACTGATTCAGAGCTCATGAAGGGATGATTAAACACATGCATGTGTCAGAGCAGCATCAGAAACTCACCAAAGACGTCATGCAGAGAGATGACTGTTCTGTCTTTGGTTTGTTTCGATGTCTTTGGTCTGTATGTGTTCATACTTCAAACAAACTGTACCAGAGTTAGTTCTGAAGTGAGCTGAGACCTACTCGCTCAGGTGGTCTCGGCTCGCTTCTTTGGTGTGCATCAGAGTTCGGATGGCAGTGTTCTCACTTGCGCTTACAGAGCGGTCGCACCAGGGTTCATTTTAATCGAGCCAAACCAAAAGTCTGAAAGCACCCATAGTGGTACCAGTTAGGCCTGGTCAGGTTGGCTTAGGGGTCAGTTTCATGCTCTAAGACTTATATTGTCACTGTCAGAACCAAACTTTATATCTTAATTTTTGGAAGTTTTTTTTGAAGGATTTTGGCTCTGGCTGCTGTAAATAGCCAGTTACATGTGGTTAGCTGGCTAATGTATGTAACACTGTGACAAGACGCGCTGCCAATGTTTGAAGCAGTCTGCTGAAAACTTCTAATTAACAGAAAGTGCTATGACTTAGAATATTAAGTAATGTGACACGATGAGCTGTTGTGATTCTTGTAGCTCATTCTGGCAAATCACTTACAGTGTGAACTGTGCCTCCCCAAAGAATAGTTCAGTTCATCTGAAAACTGGCATAGAGGGAAAGCTACTGTTTATTGACGACTCTGCTGCTTCAGAATTGCCACCAGTGTGTTTTCTTTTCCAGTGGACCAAGGTAAATTTGTGGAAATTTTGGAAAGTCAGACTTGTATATGTTCTTTATGACTACATTATCTGTTTCTGATTTTTGATGTCAACATTATCAGTAATATCAAATGATTGTTTCAGCCTGAGAGCAACAGAAATAATCTAAAACTACTTAAAAAAAAGTTTGTGTTCCCCTTGCCCGAAAAAAGTGACCAAAGGTTTTGTTTCGACTGCAGTGTAATATACTATTATGTTCTTTTTGTGTCTCGCAGTAATGTTTTTAATTTTGCTTCACATTACTTTCAGCATTATTAGTTTTTCTTGTATTTTCTTTTTGTTTCCTTTTTTGGCTTTATACATTCAAAGAAGACCTCTGTATTTCCACGGAAATGAAAGTATGTGTTGTATGACAAATGGTTCTAATACCTTGAAATGTTGGGTCAGGTTTTCAGTAAGCCTGGTTTGGGGAGGGTGGAGATGTGCACTCTGATGTCAAAACATTGGGTGAGGGTTGTCATGCCCTGGTGAGCTGTGAGATTAAGAGCAGTGAGGGAGTGTTCATTGTGAGAACCTGCACCCCAGTGGGACAGATTTTAAATAGCTTCTGCAACCATCAGTGGCCACTAGTGCTAACTAGGAATGTAAAAATGCGATTTAACTGCATTGATTTTGGAATGTTAGTGATTAGAATTGATTATATTGAACACAAAATACATTATATCTGGCTATTTTCAAACGCATCATGTTCTCTGACATGTTTGTTGTGATATTAACTCTCGCTCTCTCTCTCTCTCTCTCTCTCTCTCTCTCTCCCTCTCTCTCTGTGTAGAGAAGGAGTCTCGGAGGGCTGTGGCTCACGAGTGTTTGGGGAAGGTGTTGCGTGTCCTGCGGCAGGTGATCAGCACGTATCCTCTGCTCAACACCGTGGAAACACTCACAGCTGCTGGCACACTCATCTCGAAGGTCAAAGGTCAGAGCTACCAAAATCTCAGCGGAGTGGAAGAGTTACACTCTCCAAAAGGCTTCTGGGTCTTTTACATACAGCAATGTGCTCAAGCCTTAGGCCACTTAATAAAATTACATGGTATAAATTGACAATTTAACAGGTACATCTTCCTTGCACCTACACACATTGGCTATTTTATCAGAAAAGCCATAGAGGTGCACTTTGGAGGTTTACAATCACCCATCTGTTGCTACACTCATTCTTGGCTTGAGCTGATTGACAATTGTATCATCAATTGTCTGTAGTTGCCATCTATCTCGATTGTCAGTCAAGTTAGATGATTTAAAGTAGCTTTAAGATGTGTGAAAGAAATAATACTTGTATATATTTTATATCTTACCTGAACCCTAAATTGTCTGAGTTCAGAACATTCTGTAGCAGAGCAAGGTAGACCTTTTTTTTCTCACCTGTGGTCATGCTTGCTAAACTGATAAAACTGTGCAGCAGCCTTCCACACATGAATGGGGCTGATGTTGTTATTACATCAGTTATTAAAAATAAAAAGACAGGGGATGGCTACAGTAGCAGTATCCTTTAGGCTACTTTGCATGGTTAAGCTTTAGCCCTTTCTATTATTTTAACAAGAAGTGATTTATAGGCTATAAACATGTGATTTATTGATCATATAGCAAAAACTACCAAACCATACCAAGAGCAAAATTAGCCTCTGACAAAAAACAAAGTTTCTGACCAGAAAGCGTGTTTATTTCTCGGTTAAATCGGCGATGGCTAGGAGTTCTAAAACTATGTTATTAGTTTATATTCTACTTGATTCCACTGAAATGGCTGAATTGAAACTGAAAATGAATAAACTGAAAAGCCACAGAGCCCAACCCCAACCACACACTAAAAGTATCACTGATTCTGATGTTTCCCTGTTAGGTGTATACGTTTCTTGTCTGGCCCCTTGTATGACTGAAAATGACTTGTTTGTGACTAAAGAAAATAGATTTCTTCTTACTTTTATACTTACAATTCTGGCAAAAGTATATATTCCTCACATGTGCTGAAATACTTAATTTTAGTAGTGTATGTAAAAAAAGATATTTTAAGCACATCCAAATTTTCTGCGGTGTTTAGTATTGTGCTACCTTTTTGGCACAGTCAGAAGCACACTGACATTCAAAGCCATTAAATATACTCAGAATACCATAAAAGCCTTTGTGCTGCTCATGGAATAATCTTTGAGTGTTATATTATTTTGCAACCATAACCCACTGTTAACAAACAAGGATGGATGAGGATCTGATTGTATTCAACCACAAAGGCATTAGTGAGGTCAGGTACTGATGTTGGATGATTAGATCTGGATCACAAAAGCCACTCCAACTCATCCCAGAGGTTCTGGATGGAGCTCTGTCACACCAGAGAGCGCTTTTCTACTGCACCACAGCCCAAAGCTGGGGGGTTTTATGCCCCTCTAGCTGATGCTTGGCATTGGGCATGGAAACCTTAGGCTTATGTGTGGCTGCTCCAGAACGTCCCATTCTATTGTCAGTACTTCTAGGAGAGATCGGACGATGGTATGTTGCACACAATATCACAACCATAACTTGTACCATCACAAAAGCTGCTGCCATGAGAATGGTCCATCACCCAGATAATATCTGGTCAGTGGTGGTACTATAGTGGTCCTGTTTCTATTAATGTATGGTGTAGAGGTCGCTGATAAACTGAGCAGAAACAGATGGGCAACAGTAATTGCAAACCTAAAAAGCGCTCCAATATGGTAGGTGTTTCTGACAATATGACCAAGGAGTGTAGGTAAAAGGTAGAAATAATTGGTAGAATTGGTAAAATATAATGGTATATTTGAACAACTTCATGCTGAAGGCTGAAGCTGCATTGTGGAGAAGAAGAATCAGACCTGTATTCTTCTAACCAGCTCTAATCATAATAAATAACTTTGCTGAAAACAAGAAATTCTTATTGGTTTTTATTGTGGATTTGGATGTATTCAAATGTTATATAGTGGTTTTACAAGCAAAAATACACTTATTGGCCAGAAAAAATGTTTTAAGTAAGTACTGCATCTATCTGTGTGTCTCTTTTCCCTCTTACTTTTACTTCCTACGCATTCTAACATCACTGCAAAGTAATTTACATGTTTCTTATGTGCATTTCACTATAAATAGGAATGTGAAACTATTTCCAAGCAGACAAAAAAGGAAACCCGAGGCTAATATAGTTTGAATTGATTTGCGCTCTTTGCTCCAGACATGATCCCCCACAGGGCTGTGTCAGCATGATAGTGTGATAACAGTAAATGAGGGTGGATAAAACTTCTCAACTTTGTCATCTCCTTCTCATAAGACATTGATATTGCCACATCTGGCACCATGGTAACAGCTCATTATTCATCCGCCAGCTTGTTTTAGAGAGCAGAGACCACAACTATCACACTCTGTTTCCTAAACAAAGTTGAGGAAAACAACGGCCGCTCGTAATAGATTTCAGTCAAACACAATCTCTTCTATGTATTCTGTCTCAGGAAGAATAACCGTATCCATTTATAAAAAGGTTATAAGATATTGTACCTTGTAAGTACTTGACCAGAGTAACAAAGCCTCTAGATTTCTTTTAGAAACTCACCAGAAATTACGTATCCCAAGGGAAAATAAGGAAAAACATCAAACAAAGAAAATATGAAGGGTTGAAAATTTTGAAACCACTTTATTTATTTTTTTTAAATCAACTCCTTTGATTTTTCTTGTTTACTTACATTAGTGCCTAAAGTGCCATGTTTATAAGTGTAGATTTTTTATCCTAATATCTTTACACACCGCTTCCCATGCCTTAAAGGGAAAATATGTTCTAGTTTGAACAAATTTTTAATAAACAAGCAAACAGGACTAAACTAGCACAATGTAGAGTCTTCACCTCTTGTGTACGTGGTCGATTTTTTTTCAACTATAAGCAGTAACAGCCTGTTTAATTATATACTATTTCTGAATGTTCATTATTAAACTGGCCCATATTTTCTTAGGATATTGCTGAAGAACATTAGTCTTTGGACCATGCATCGGCAATTGCACCTTTAATTAGGTCATAGTGAAAGTAGGCCTCTCTGGAGCCTCTGCCTCCGTGCTCCCACTGATTTTGTGGGTTTGGTTACGTGGCTGTGGGGTTGTTGTGATGGTGAAAGGTGAAACTTCTTCACCTCTTTTGGCTGAGTGTTGAAAGGTGCTGCATGTTTCCGTCAAATCATTTTATATTTGTGAGTCAGTGCAGATATTTTTTTTTCACCATTTTTTTCAAATTAAGTCATTTCTAATTCACACTTGCTGTCTAGCCATTACATTGTAGGATCCAACCTGCCTAACGAGTTGCACTGTAGGATCCAACCTTCTTAAGCTGTTAAAGTGTAGAATCCAAACGTCTTAACCAATTGCTGGATATGATTCAACCTTCTTAATCAATGACATTGTAGCATACAACCTTCTTAAACACTTGCATTGTAGGATCCACCCTTTTTAGCCAATTGTCTTGTAGGACCCAATCTTCTTAATCAGTGACATTGTAGTATCTGTCCTTCTTAACCATTTATATTGCAGGATCCAAATTTCTTTACCAATTACATTACAGAATCCAATTTTCTTAAGCCAGTACATTGTAGGATTCAGCCTTCTTAACCGATTGCATTGTAGGATCCAGATGTCTTAACCGATTGCATTGTAGGATCCATACTTCTTAGCCAACTGCATTGTAGGATCCAACCTTCTTAACCAATTGCATTGTAGGATCCAGCCTTCCTAACCAATTGCATTGTAGAATCCAGATGTCTTAACCAATTGCATTGTAGGATCCAACTTTCTAAGCCAGTTGCATGTAGAATCCAACCTTCTTTACTGGTTACTTTGTACCAGGAGCTCCTAAATGAGCCTTGAAACTTCTTTCTTGTTTCTTGTAGTGTAAAGCTAACACCTGTCTGGTTTACAGTGCAGTGGTGATCTTTCAAAGTTTTCAGTGTAACTTCAGTTTTATTAACCACAAAACTGCCATACGTCTGTCAAGTCTCCTGAGGATATTAATGTATTATTACTGCATCATTTAAGACATGATTTAAGACAGCTGTTCTTGCTTAATGGCTTCCTTTGATTACACAATAGAGGAAACTACAAGAATTGCAAGAGTAAATTATAACAGCACAAATTAATTTTAGGTTAAAAAAAATGGAATTTAATAACATTTTTGAAAGAAGGCAAATACCTTTGTAGTAACTCTGTGTTCCTTCTTTTTATCTGAATTTTCACATTGCTGTTAGATCAATAGCATTTGTTTGAGGTATTGTCAAACAGCAAGCAGAAGTTTGTCTGAGGTTGTCCCGACCCTGTTACAAACAGCTCACAGCAATGTCTCATGTCCTGTGTGCAGGCTTCAGCTACGAAGGCAGCACTGAGGCACAGAAGAAGGACTTTGAGAAAGCCATCGAGACCATCGCAGTGGCCTTCAGCAGCAAGTGAGTGCAGCAGCATCTGGACCATAGTGATGCATTGAATTGACTTGATTCAGATGTCTATGTCGTTTCCACATCAATAAAAAAACATTACATCAACCCAGCTGTTGCTAACAGTACGTAAACTTAAAGGTAAAATCGTGTTGACGTAATTTGTTTTATTACTGTGGGAATAGGATACACATTTGCATGACTTTTTTCAGTGCAGTGCTTTGACTTAATCATGTGCTCTTTAATTCCATGTACCAACATAACTTCCCTTTTCAGTTTGAACCTGTGTCACAATGTCAGTTATGACTGTGTCTAAAGAAGACAAACAACTTCTTCAGTTAAAGTGAGCGCTTCCAAAAGGGTGATGGATTCTTGGATGTTTTGTGCTTTTGACTCCGGAGTTAGAAATAATGCAAAAGTGTCTGAAAAGGTGCCAGAAATGTGGAAACACCTGATTAAACACATGTTTTTCACAATCTTAAAGACATTTAATCTGAAGGTTTGAGATTAAATTCTTAAAAATTGTTTGTACAACATCTATAAATAGTAATTTTGATGAAATGTGGGGAATTTATTTCCAAAACAGTTGTTTTTTTAATAAATGCCCCCTCCAACAAGGAGTTACAGTAACCAGCAAGGTCTCTGCATATGTCCTTCAACCCTGTTGGAAAAGTATCTCAGGTAGCTCTTCATGAAGCATCTTAAGAGAATGCCAGGATTGCGCAACGCTCAGTGTACAGAGGAGCTGCTTTCAGGAATGTTGAATATATGAAAATATATTTGAAAATAATATGTAGACATTTTAAAACTTTTGACTAATACTTTATCTGAAATGTTTTGAGTGTTTTTGGCGAGTGTGTAAGGTGTAGTGTATCAGTCAGTGTCGGTAGCTGGACAGATTGCCCTTTTCCTGTCTGATGGCAGTTCAGTGTTTCCCTCTAATAACATCATTGTGTTACGCACACACATTCACAGGCACTGTAGATCTACAAAGGATTTATCATCTTTCTGTCTCTTTGTGTCTCTGCCTCCCCCTTTCCTTCTCCCTCCTGCACCTGTCTCTCTCTCTCTCTCTCTCTAGTGTGTCCGAGTTGCTGATGGGGGAGGTGGACAGCAGTACCCTTCTGTCTCTGCCTCCCACAGAGAAGAGCAGGGTAAGTAAGAATGATACCAAGCTGTAGTGAACTATACTGAGCTCTAGTGAGCTCTGCCTATTTCTAGTGAAGTCTACTTCTAGTGAGCTATACCTAGCTCTAGTTAAGTATACCAAGCTTTAGGTAAGTGTATCTAGCTCTAGTGAACTATACCGAGCTCTAGGGAACTATACTAAGGTTCAATGAACCAAGTGAACTATTCCTAGCTCTGCTGAGGCATGTGCCCAGTACATTGGATCTAGTGATGACCCTGACACTTATTTTACCAAAGTATACCTAGCTCTAGCTAACGATACCTGGCTCTAGCTAACTATACCTGGGTCTAGCTAAGTATACCTGGGTCTAGCAAACCGTACTTAACTTTAACTACTAAGTATACCTAGCACTAGTTAGCTATATCTAGCTCTAGATGACAATACCTAGCTCTAGCTAACTATGCCAAGCTGTAGCGAACCATATCTAACTATAGCTGACTATATCTAGCTCTATCTAACTATATCTAGCTCTTGTTAACTACATCTAGCTCTAGCTAACTATGTCTAGTTTTAGCAAACCATACTCAACTCTAGATAACTATGCTAAGCTTTAGTCAACTATACCTCGCTCTATCTATAATCTATAACTAGCTCTTGCTAAAAATATGTAGATCTAACTAACTATACCTAGCTCTAGTTATCTTTACCAAGCTTTAGCAATCTATAACTAGCTATAGCTAAAATATATAGGTCTATCTAACTATATCTAGTTTAGTTGACTATACCTAGATGTACCTAACTATACCTTGCTTCTAGAGAACCATACCTAACTCTAGTTGACTATACCTAGCTCTAGTTGACTCTACAGAGCTCTAGCAATCTATAACTAGCTATAGTTAATAATATGTATCTCTAGTTAACTCACTCACTCTAGTGAACCATGCTTAACTCTAGTGACCTGTACCAAGCTCTAGCCAAAAATATCAGCTCTACCTAACTATATGAAAACCTATCTAACAAGCTCTGTTTGGGCTTTAATAACTTTAACTCTAAGAGCTCTTGGCATAGAGTTTAACCATTTGAAGCTTAACCATTTCATTCAGTTATGATTTTTTATTATCTTAAGACATATTTTGCAGAAAACACTGAATTATTTGTTAACTATGATTAAATTTATATGTAAGTTCTGTAGTTATGAGTGTAAGGAAGTGAAGTGTGACATTCAGGCTCTTAGGGTTTAAGAGTAAGAGGCTTCTTACTGGTTAGAAGCCTACTGCTCAAATCAAAACAGGAGTGTGAAGTCAGACTGTTCCCCTTTTCAGCCAGTCAGTCATGAACCTTGCAGGTAAAGCAGCTCAGGTGTCAGCTCACACTGCACTTCAGGTTTTTGGTGCTGTTGGTAAAACAAAATGAACTTTTAGCCCTGGAGGAGGAGAAACCAAGAGACATCCATCCGTTCTCCCTCAGCCAGGGAGGTGTAGCAATACTGCAAAATCTAACCAACCGTTTCCTAACCCTGTGTGCGTGTGTACGTGTGTGTAAGAGAGAGAGAGCGCAGGGCGGATGTTGTCGATGGCGTTTGTGTTTGTTGCTTCCTGCTCTAGGTTTCTGTCATAGCTTCCTCTTTTCCTCTCTGACACTCATACTGACAGACTTCACTACCACCATTTGCACTGCCTGTGCTGCACAGTAAAGCAGGGGTGGACCAAATATATATAGATTCTGTCCAAAGTAAATGAAATAAAATGTTCTAACACTATGCTTCATGTTTTTAGTTTATATTCTGCTTGATTTCACTGAAATGGCTAAATTGAAACTGACAATGAATAAGCTGAAAAGCCACAGAGCCCAACCCAACCACACACTAAAAGTATCACTGATTCTGATGTTTCCCTGTTAGGTGTATACGTTTCTTGTCTGGCCCCTTATACGACTAAGAATGACTTGTTTGTGACTAAAGAAAATAGATTTCTTCTTACTTTTATACTTACAATTCTGGCAAAAGTATATATTCCTCACATGTGCTGAAATTTTAGCAGTGTATGTAATAAAATATATTTTAAGCACATCCAAAGTTTCTCCTAAATGTTTAGTATTCTGCTTCTTTTTGGCACAGTCAGAAGCACAGTTTATAAAACACATGAAACTTGCAGTGGAGGACTACTTACAAAATGGATAGTTCCCGTTCTAAAATCCAGTTAGCTGACGTTCAAAGCCATTGAATATACTCAGAATACCATAAAAGCCTTTGTGCTGTTCATGGAATAATCTTTGAGTGTTATGTTATTTTGCCACCATAACCCACTGTTAACGAACAATGAGGATCTGATTGTACAAGCACAAGGGCATTAGTGAGGTCAGGTACTGATGTTGGATGATTAGATCTGGATCACAAAAGCCACTCCAACTCATCCCAAAGGTTCTGGATGGAGCTCTGTCACACCAGAGCATGCTACTGCTCCACAGCCCAAAGCTGGGGGGCTTTATGCCCCTCTAGCTGATGCTTGACATTGGGCATGGAGACTTTAGGCTTATGTGCGGCTGCTCCAGAACGTCCCATTCTATTGTCAGTACTTCTCTATTGAGATTATACAAGCTGTGTGCAATTGAACAGCTGTGTCAGTTATAGGAACACCTCTGTGTAGCTTTAAAGTAGCTGAATTCCCTAATTATAAGGCATGTCTGAATAGATTTGGACAAATAGTGTATATTGCAGGGGCAGAAGAATTGCAAGAATTGTTTGTTGTGATTATTATCAACGATAAATAAATGTATTTATTGAAGTGTATTTTATCATATTTTTTGTCGCTGGTTTATAAAAGTTATTAGCTGTGCATGATTCTTAATTCTGCATCTGATGCGTGTGTGTGTGCGTGTGTGTGTGTGTGCGTGCAGTCTATGGAGAATCTGTGTGGATCGTCGGCAGGGCAAGGGGATGATGGAGGGAGTGGGCCAGTGTGACCATGAGGACTGCAGTGAGTATCACATTCACCCACTGCTCTCACTTCAGCTCATTTTTTTCATACCTCAGTCATTTTTTAAAACTCTGTATTTTATTATATTGATTTACTTATTACATTATTATATTATTCTAAACTTTTTGTTCTCTTGTTTTTATTATTATATCATATTATATATTGATTCTCATTTATGTGTTTTATTTTTATTTACTGCTGTTTCAGATCTTAGCCTGTGAATAGTCTTTATTCTCTTATTCCTAGGTCTTTGTCTTAAGGGTGTCCATATGTAAAGCACCTTCAGTTGTAATTGTTGTAGGAAATCTTATCTGTATTTGTACTACTATTGCGCTTTTTTCTCGTTTGTATTTGTGTGTGTCAGTGATGAGCCCAGAGGAAGTGGATATCCTGCTGCAGCACAGTGAAGGTGGGGTAGACTCTGCGCTGTCCTATGCAAAAACCATCGCCAAGTACATGAAGGACATCATCACTTATGTGGACAAACGCATCGCTCTGGGTAACCAAACTTGATTCACAGTAACAAAGCAAAATAATATACAGTACTAAGTCTATCCTAAAGACAACATATCAAATGTTGAAACTGAGAAATTTTATTGTTTATTGAAAAATATTTGCCCATTTTGAATTTGATGCCAACAACACATTCCAAAAAAGTTGGGACGGGGGCAACAAAGGGCTGGTAAAATTGTATAATACTAAAAAAAAAACACCTGGTAGTTGATTGGCAACAGGTCAGTAACACGATTGGGTGTAAAAAGAGCTTCCCAGAGAGGCTGCGTCTTTCAAAAGTAAAGATGGGGAGGGGTTCACCACTCTGTAAATGACTGCACAAGCAAGTAGTGCAACAATTCAAGAATGTTCCTCAACATAAAATAGCAATCTTCTTTTCATCATCTACGGTGCATAATATCATTAAAAGATTCAGAGAATCAGGAGAAATCTCTGTATACAAGGGACAAGGCTGAAACCCAGTATTTGCTGGCCAAGATCTTTGGGCCCTCAGACAGCACTGCATTAAAAACAGACATGATTCTGTAGAGGAAATCACTGGGCTCAGAAACACTTCTGAAATCCACTGTCTGTGAATACCGTTCATCACTGCATCCACAAACGCTAGGTAAAACTGTAAAATGCAAAGAAGAAGTCATATATAAACAGGATCCAGAAACACGGCCGCCTTCTCTGAGCCCGAGCTCATTTAAAATGGACTGAGGTGAAGTGGAAAAGTGTCCTGTGGTCTGACGAATCAACATTTGAAATTTTTTTTGGAAAATATGGACACTATGTCCTCTGGGATAAAGACCACTCAGCTTGGTATCAGTGCACAGTTCAAAAGCCAGTATTCATGATGGTATAGGGGATGGTATTAGTGCACATGTTATGGGTGACATGCACATCTGTGTAGGCACCATTAATGCTGAACGATATATACATGTTTTGGCAACATATGCTGCCATCCAGATGACGTCTTTTTCAGGAAAGGCTTTGATTATTTCAGCAAGACAGTGTTAAAATACATTCTGCATGTATTACAACAGCATTGCTCTGTATTAAAAGAGTCCGGGTGCTAATCTAGCCTGTCTCTAATCCAGACCTGTCACCCACTGAAAACATTCAGAGGGTGATGAAATGAAAAATGAGCCTTTGAAATCCTATATCAAACAATAACTGGAAAACGTTTCACTTTCAAAACTACAGCAGTTGGTCTCCTCAGTTCCTAAACATTTACAGAGTGTTGTTAAAAGAAGAGGTGATGAAACACAGTGGTAAACATGCCCCCGTCCCAATTTTTTTGGAATGTGTTGTTGGCATCAAATTCAAAATGGGCATATATTTTTCAAAAAACAATAACATTTCTCAGTTTCAACATTTGATATGTTGTCTTTGAACTTTTTTAGAAATGGTGTTGTACTATCACATTGTAAATGCCACACACACTGCAGATTCAATCCAAGGCAACTACTGTCAGACTGTAAATTATGCAGATTCATGCTAGATTACAATTTCTCCATATTACTGTCAGAATGTAAAAAGTACATATTATAATTCTGATAATTCTGTTCTCAGCTAACATATTTGACAAACAGTTTGCTATAATGTGAACGTGTTTCTGTTTCTGTCTGGATTTTAGAGATGGAGTTTGCTAAAGGACTTCAGAGGCTGTACCAGTCGAGCAAGCAGAGCATCACTCAGGTAGAGAACATGCAGAGCACTGTACTGTAGGTGTAACATACCTATGGCATATGAACAAATATATCTTCATCATTATTTGTCTAGTGAATATGACTTGATGTTCGTCATAATAAGCATGTATGTGCTCTCTTCTCTTGTCCCTCTCTCTGTCTCTCTCTCTCTCTCTCTCTCTCTCTCTCTCTCTCTCTCTCTCTCTCTCTCTCTCTCTCTCTCTCTCAGAACCACATGCCCTTGCTGTCTATCTTTTCTCTGGCCCTCGAGCAGGACTTGGAGCAGAGTATTGGAGTGCAGCAGTCCACGAACTCTGTTCTCACTCACTCCTTTCTACAGGTAACACACAACAACAAGAACAGACAAATCCACACAGCAGAGCATCACTCAGGTAGAGAATACAAGGAACAGTTTACTATAGCTGTGCTCCTCACTCTGACCCACTTTCTCACTCCACATGTACACATGTACTTTTTTCTTTAAGTAAAACACAGTCAGTGAGTGACGAGTAACAACTGCTACCTTTTCTGTAATCCATGTTAAACTGTGTCAGTTTTGTTGTGAAGACTGCAGGTGGAATTTACAACCAGAGTCTCAACTGTCCCTGAAAACAGTGATGTGCTGAAATGAGTCACGTTGTTTCTACATGTCTCTTTCTCTTTCTTTCTCTCTCTCCTTATCCATCTCTTTATCTACCCGCCCCCTTTCTTTCTTTTTTCCTCTCTATGCTCTTTCTTTCTTTCTTTTTTCTTTCTTTTTTTTCTCCCGTCCTACTAATTTTTCTTCTTCTTTTCTCTCTTCTTTTCTCCCCTCCATCTCTTTATCTTCCCCTCCCTTTCCTATTCCTTTTTATCTCCCATGGCCTCTTTGCTCTCACTCTCCCCCACATCTCTCTCTTTCTTTTCATCTCTCTCTTTCTTTTTATCTTTATCTCACTCCATCTATCTCTTTCTCATTTCATCTGTCACTAAATCTGTCTCTCGTTCTGCCCATTCTCTCTCTCTCTCTCTCTCCCTTTCCCATTCTTTATCTCTCTTTTCTCTTCATATTTATCACTCTGTTTCTTTCTTTCTTTCTTTCTCCATTCTTTTTCTCTACATCTCACTCTTTGTCTTCACCTCTCTCCTCCTCTTTCTCTCCCTCTTTATCTTTGTCTCTCTCCATCTTTATGTCTCTGTCCATCTCTCTCTCTCACTCCTTCCATCTCTCTCTCTCCATCTCGCTCTTTTTCTTTCCATCTCTGTCTCCATCTCCCTCTCTTTCCATCTCCCTCTCTCTGTGATTTTCTTCATCTCTCTCCTTCTCTTCATCTTTTACACTCTCTTTTTCTTCATCTCTCTCTCTCTCTCCTCTCTCTTTCTCTCTCTCTCTCTCTCTCTCTCTCTCTCTGTCTTTCTCTCTCTCTCTCTCTCTCGTGCAGCCACTCATGCAGCGTAAACAGGAGCATGAGAAGAAGCGGAGAGAGATTAAAGAGCAGTGGCAGAGGGCCAAGAGGAAACTGGTATACAGCTCCACTCTCTCATGTTCTTTGTTTGCTGGCTTCATTATAAACTTCAGCTAAGAATATACAGTACTATGGCAGCCAACTCTATAGCTTAAAACTTTTGGCAGTGATGATTTTTTGCCTGTAAAACACCTTGTAACATTTAAATAATACAAATAAACGTCAATACAGTACAGTAAACGTACTAAATAAATTACATGTCTCCAATAAAAGAATACAGTTAGAAGAATGCAGACTTGGTTCCTGACTTACTGCTGCACCTTAGTCATTGTATAGATTTCTTAAATTCCATCAGCAGCTCATCTGATCTAATTTAATGAAGGATTGATTAGCTGAAGCTGGTAGTGGATGGTAACTGCAAATACTTAACTTCCTTGAGGAGAGATTTGGAAATGTTTAAGCTAAAACACTCACACACACCAAGTCACAATGTATTGTTTGTTTGTAGGTATATCTTGTATTAGTGTCTGACCAAATAAATGCTTAATGCTCAGTTAAATAGTTTCACATATCCTTGTCTCTTTTGCAGAGTACGTGTATACACACACAAATACTTGAAACCTGAAACATTCTGGTATAAAATAGTTTCTCGGAAAACAGGATGATTTGGACGGAAGTAGGAGAGTATACAGCAGTAGTTATGGGAACGAGACTTCCAAAGCGTTTAATGTTTCTGAAAGCTCCCTCACAGAAAGTTATTGCATGCAGTGACTGCATATATGTTGTCTGATGCCAGAGACATTTTTTACAGTAGATTTGACGTGTGCTTTTGGCCTAAGATGTTTGATATGCACTCACTGAGCACTTTATTATGTATACCTTCCTACAGTCTACAGTCATTGTCCATTTTATCAGCTCCACTTACCAAATAGATGCACTTTGTAGTTCTACAATTATGGATTGTAGTCCATCTGATTCTCATGTAGGTTTTTTCTGGTAAACACACGACCACTGTGAACAGTTCTGTCTCTAGAAATGCAGCATTTCAACCTTCAGACCACACTGAATGACTTTGATTACCTCCACCAGGCGGAGGCAGAAAATAACCTGCGTAAGGCGCGACAATGGTACCTGACCCGCTGTGAAGAGTATGAGAAGGCTCGTTCGGTGGCCAATAAAGTGGAGGAAGAGCACAGCGGAACAGGAAGTGGCTCCACCAACAAAGCGCTGGACAGGAAGAGACGACTAGAGGAGGAAGCCCGCAACAAGGTCAGCTGACCCACACAGGAAATGACACCACACCACACATGCGGTCACAGCATGACTTGTGGCAAACGCGTCACTTACACTTTGCCTAATCTGCTAATTTTTTTTCTGATTAGTTGTTTTTGGCTCCACCCAGATAGAAATAATGACTTCCTTGCATGAGTCAGAGCCCCTGAAGTATTCATATTCAAGACATTGTATGTCTTGAATTACTTTTGTTATCCTTACTGTTTAAATGTCATTTTGTAATTTCAGAATTTATAATGTAGGTAAATAATGAATGACAAATAAATAGCAAAAAACAGGCAGAAATAAGGACTGTTTTCAGCAGAACAACTGTACACACAAATCATATCATAACAAAATATATCCTCGTCTACATATGAACACAAACAAGGTATAGATTAAACCAGGCTTTTGTTTTTGGTAGCAATAACTGTGACTGTTCTAAGAGTTAAAACAGTACTTAAGCACCAGTGTTGGGGTAGTTGCACAAAAGTAACTCATTTCAAATAATGAATTATTTTCTCAAACTGCAATGGGATTGCTTTACTGATTACTTCCTGAAAAAAATTAATCACGCTGCTCATTACTTTACTTATATGTTACTCACTAAAATCCAAAACATCTCTACCAACTAGAAAATACAACGAACCAAACCAAATATCCAGTACAATATTTCATAAGAAATGGTAAATCGGAGTAAACTTACTTTAAAAGGCGTACACTATCCCTGCCTTGGAACAAGAGAGTCTCAAAATAAGATCTTTATGGATAAAATTTAAAACTTACAAAGTTGTTCTTAATGAAAATCGAGTCTGGTCAGTTTCAGTGAGGTTTGGGATCTCTCTTCTTGTATTTTAGTATATTAGAGTTTCATATTACCATGATTAGATGCTTAGAAAGTTTCTTCATAAGGTTCACATTTTGCCTTCCCGCCCGCACCATATAAATTACATCCAGTTGAATGTTTTCCCTCCAAATCTCAGCCGTCAACAGTTTTGTATATAACCGGAAAATACATTATTATGTAAAACTGTTTACTGTTGGATTCAAAAAAAGAAAGAAAGCCGTTGTTGCCCCTCTGTAGTTTTGGAGGAAGTTGTGTTTGTTGTTTGTGATGAGAAAATTGCTGCGGTCACACTCATTTGCATAAAGCTGAAATCTGCTGAACTTTTTAGCCATGCAACACCACAGAGTTCTCTATTGAAATGAATAGGATGCGGTGAGGCGAAGTTGCAATTGGGCACGTACTGTGGCACTAGTTCATTACAGGATAAAGGAATTACTTTACTGTAACGTTTTACCCCGAACACTGTTTAGCACACACTTATAAAAAGGATTGCATGAAGTGGGGGTGCTGTGGGTGCTAAGGGTTCTGCAGCTGCTAAAATATACTAATAATTATTATAATAATTATAATAATAATAAGTTCTGAAATGTATGATAATATGAGCATAGTGAGGACTCGTTTCTCTTGTTTGTATTTTAAAACCTGCAGTTTTGAAAATTGTATATAACCGGAAAAGTAACTGTTTAAGTAGTACTACAAGAGATAAAATAGTAAATAGTAACTGTTTAAGTTAACGCTATATTTTCATTACAGTGAGCTGAATTGCTTCCCTCAACAACTGTTGGCCGCTTTGGGGGTGTGATACTAAAACACGAGTAGGTGCAAAGGAAGTCTATGCAGAGTTATAGACCAGTTCTGAGCCCCAAAGGCAGCATTGTTTTTAAAAAATAATAATCTAACGTAATAACATTTTTATCAACCATTGTCAGAGATTTATCAACCATCTCCCGCTCAGTGTGCATTCCAGTGTTAAGTCTCACTGTGTGACACAATAGGTTACCTTGCCACATATCAACAATCTGATTTGGCGCCACTCAATTCATTTGCCTTATATTTGTCCAGAGCAAAGAGGCAGAGAGAGGATGTGCATCAGTGGTCTGATTTTCCAGTTATATGTATGCATTGTCATGTGTTGCCTCATTATAGCACGTTATGTCATTCTGCTTTATGTAAATTATAAAAAAATTAAAGAAAAGAAGGCAAATCATTTTGCATGACATCACATATATGCTGCTTAAAATTTTAACACCCCCAACTTAAAACACTTTCCTGTGTCCCTGTTTATAAACTTTCCAAAACAGCAAGATTTGAAATAGACGTCGTGGAAGTCTCTAAGTTCATGTGTGTTCAGTCTCAGCATGTTCAGTCTTTCTGAGTGTGTATGTGTGTGTGCATTCTCAGGCAGAGGAGGCTGAGGCCACATATCGGACGTGTATCGCTGATGCCACCACTCAGCAGCAGGACCTGGAGGATGTGAAGGTGAACGTGCTCAAACAGATTCAGGATGTCATCAGACAGAGTGACCAGATACTGCGGGCGGTGAGACTCCTTTTTATAAACACACACACATACACACACGCTACAGTCTACAAAGGTACAAAGGTAAAGAAGCAAGCAGTGATTTTTTCACACTTTCAAAAATAATGTACAGTTAAACACGGCAGAAGATGCTTATTCGCATCCCATTTAACCAAAAATGTTGCCAGTGCTATACTCTTACTCGAGAGTGTTCTCACACAATATGTTAGGCCTGTTTCACACATTCTACCTCTGTGTTATATGAGTGACACAGTGTGACTGCTAGAACTTGCATGCACTGGCTGTTCACACATACGCTGTTTGCACTGCAGAGCAGTACAGCAAGAAAGTTCTGCAGACATTTTTTTCCCAAATGCATAATACATACATAATCAAATCTCTTACTTTGCTCAGTAAAGGATAATTCATAAAAGAACATTATACATTTGTTTATGAGTGCTGATCTAGGATCTGTTCTAGTCACTAAAGTCAATGTAAAGAAGAAAGAATTCTGATCCTAAAACAGCACATCTACTCACCAGAAGCTGAAGTAAATATGACCTCTGATTTTGTTCATCAAGCTTTAGGAGCATCTGAATGGGGGAATCTAATCTGATCTGATCATAAAACTTTGCAGGAGAATCAAACAAATTAGAGATCAGTTAGTTGCACAGTCATGCTGCATGTATTTATTCTCAATAAACATGTTCATGTTTGTCTCTTGAACAAACAACAATTTCATGCTTGTTTGTTTTTTATTAGTGTTCCTTCCAAATTTCTTTATAGGTAAGACACTGTTTTAGTCCAGCACAAGCAATTTCATGTGTTAAATTAATTTAGCTTTTTTGGAGCAGTAATTTCATAATCAAAAGGTGACAGTCATGTGTGCGCCAGTTTCTCAGAAGCCATTTAAGTGTAACAGGGCTAGAAGGGATTTTCGGTAGTGAATCATCATTGGTATTTCCATTAAATCTAAAACCAGGCTTAATTTGCTTCCAAGAAACAGTATATGAGTCATTTAATATTTGAACCAGTTAAGTCTGTCTAATTGGGAGTCTCTGGGTGTTCCTCTTTGTCTCCAGTGCACCATCTCGTACTACCAGATCCTGCATATGCAAACGGCGGCATTGCCTGTGCACTACCAGACACTATGTGAGAGCTGTAAGCTGTACGACCCAGGCCAGCAGTATGCTGCTCACATCAAAAACCTGCATCTGAGGGCAGAGCCCATCACAGTCTACCAGTTTGAGCCATACTCCGCCTCCAGCATACAGTGAGTTATTCTAGCACATTAAAGACATGTTTGTGTTTGTTATTACTTCATATAGCCAGGGTTCAAACTGAGGGTGGGGTTTCAGGGTCCCAGACCATAAGAGTAAAGGGTCACTCCATGAAAGAGACAACATGAAACTTAGAGGGTCCCATACTATTTCCTTGAATAAAATTTGAATTTTCTGACAAAATGAATGCCCTCACAGAAGGTGAGAATCTCTTGTTCTATGTTTTTGTTGTCTTACCCATGAGATTTCTCCCCCTAAATGAACCATGAATTCGCCCAGCCCAATTCGTAACGTAATCGTGTAATCTCATGCACTGAGCCACGTAGGTCTGTTTTAAAACTGAAGAAGTTTAAAGCTGAAGCGCATCTCAAACTGGTGAGAAACTTCAGATACTTTTCTGCCATGAAGACAAACAGAAAATAAATATTGTCAGCAGCCTTTCCATAAGCCGAGAAATATGTTTTTGTTAGCAAGTTTTCCTTTTAGGCTGTTTGAACATGTGATAGGTTATATTCACACTAACCTATGTGGTTATTTGAGCAACAGCCAACGTATGACCATAATTTTGCTCATTTGTCCGGCAAACTGAATTATAATTTGGTTTTACTTCCTTCCTGCTAACAACTGAATGTTTTTTACTACCTCATTTGTATTTTAGTTAATTAACTGAAAAAAGGTAGACTTGCTTGCCATAGTCTGACTTTCCACTAATGGACACCCCCAAGACCTCTGTGTATAGCTACAAACAGTTGTAGCGTTCATCTTGGAGCCAGAATTTTTGTTTGTATTCGTCTGCTTTTTTAGCATGAAAACTACAGAGGCAAACTTCAGACACTAAACATCTCTCGGCTAATCTATATTCTATGTCTTTCATTCATTCATTCATCATATAACCTGCTTATCCTCCTGGGTCACGTGGGGGTGTTCCTGGAGCCTATCTCAGCGCTCATTGGGCTGAAGGCAGGAAACACCCTGGACAGGTGTATTCGGTGTCAAAGTTGTATAAATCTGATTTTTCGCTGAGTTATTGTTTTGAACATCTGACTAAAATTTTAAATATGAATATGAATTCAGTTTTCTTATGACTATGAACTGTAAACTGTTTCATTCTTATTCTGTTTCTATCACACAAAATGTGAGTTGTGGTTTGTTAGAGTAAAAGCCACTAGTTGTATGTTAATTTTTTTTTTCGTTCAGGCCTGCTCGCATACGCCATGACAGCCTCACCGAAGACCAGCGGCAGAGCAGTGGTGAGGCCCCAACCACCAATGAGGAGGCAGCATCTGGAGACGGGGGCGTGGTCAAGCACAGAAGAGGTCATGAGCTAACAAATTTATTACAAGTTAGAAGAAAGAGTTGAGAAAGAAAAAACTGTTAATGCAGAAAAAGTGACCTTCACTTTTCCAGTGAAATCAGCTTTTATCAAGGCGTAATAATTAAGGCGTTTACCGTTGACTTTCTGCAGGTCGAGATCATCAGGCTCATAAGTCCTGGCCTTCTACTCTGAGTGACACAGATAGTGTGGGAGGAGGAAGTGGCTTGGGCTCCCCCACCACCAGCACAGGTACCAGACAACATAAAACCTACCTACTGACACAGGCACAGATTGTCTCAGTTCATAGTGGTCAATTTTTATAGATAACACTGTCAAAAACTATACAGCTACTTATTACCATATATTTATTGCTTTACAAATGGATAGCCAGGAATGATGAGAGAGTGGCAGCCTATACTCAACAGATTTGTTGATTTTTCGGTATACATTCATATGCATAAGTTTGGGTGTCCCTGTTCAAAGTACATGTTTTGTTGATCTTCTGAGTAAAAATAAGTTAATGCATCCTTTACAGAGAACACACTTGTGCACATTTTAATGTATAATTAATGTTTATATGCTGAATTTAACATACTGGAGAAAATGTGCCCTGCACCACAAGTTCATTTTATATTTTTATTCTATTTTTCCCAGTATGTTAGGAAATAGTTAATAAATAGAAATTGTGCACATAAAATTTGCATACAACTGCCATATTTAGGTTTGTTCCCTGTAGAGCATGTTAATGTATTTTCACTTAGAAAATCAACAAAACATGTAATTTGACCAGGGGTGTCCAAACTTAATTCAAGCATACGACTGTGTATTAATTTTAGTGCAATACTTGAGGGATCCCTGTACATAACCACAATGCCTATTTATATTAATGTTTATTAAGGCATGTAATGTTTTCTGACTTTCAAAGTCAAACTCTACAGAAATGCTCAAGGCTTGTCTTCCATTACAGGAGATGTTTCTAAGGCTCCACGGCCAGTGTCAGCTGGTACCTTGTCATCAAATGAGGACATAGATGAGCAGGACAGTAATGTAGCCTCTTTTGAACAAAGTGAGTTTTAAATTTTCTTTTGCAAGAATGACTCATTTCTCACCTTCAATATTTTCTCAATGTTTACTGTTTGGTTGCTGTGGGACATACATCATTGACACTTCACCCAGCCATTTATAGACTTAACATTTGGGAGTACACAGTAACTGCAGAGTCCATACTTTGGTCATTTTAGTAACTGAAATTACCAAAACATGGACTTTGGTAATTTCAGTTACTAAAATGACTGTGACTATGTAGCCCTGAATGGATAGCTTGTAGGGTAACTTGGGGTAAGAAGCCCCCCAGGGTAAGATTTTTTTTACTGTTTTTTACTTTGTATTGTGTTAGGTATGAATGGAATTGAGCCAGAGATGACTGTCTCCACTGGCCCATTTCGAAACGTGGGTCTGTCCAAAGCTGCCAAGACACATCGGCTACGGAAACTCCGCACTCCATCCAAGTGCCGCGAGTGTGACAGCTATGTGTACTTCCAGGGAGCAGAGTGTGAGGAGGTGAAACAACATGTACACACATATGCACCATGACCTGCAGAGCTTTGATCTGAGATAAGCTACAGTTTAGCCACATCTGCATTCTTCAGATTGGGCTGTGAATGTCAGATTTGAGATCACCTCTTTGACTCTGATGTTTTAGACACTAGGTGCCAGATCTGAAAGGTAAATGGTTTGAAGATGTCCATAAATTTGATTTAAAGAACAAATAACCTGAAATGCAAGCTGAGTTCAAATATACAGTCATGGCGGTTTTGTACATAAAAGAGCTATTACGTGTCTCAGTTGGACTTACCTGGTCTTTTTTGAGTATTTTTCAATTTAGTATGCTTGGGTATAATGTGTATGTCAGCAGATCCTAATATCTTAGCATGCATTTTGTGGTGTGCAGTGTTTCCTGGCCTGTCATAAGAAGTGTCTGGAATCCCTGGCAATCCAGTGTGGTCACAAAAAGCTGCAGGGCCGACTGCAGCTGTTCGGCCGAGACTTTGCCCAGGTGCTGCAGGGCAACTCAGAGGGAGTGCCCTTCATCATCAAGAAGTGCATCCAGGAGATCGAGAGGAGAGCACTCAGGATGAAGGTGAGTAACAACAAAGAGGAGGAGGTTGTTGTATGAGGATAGCTGAAGCAATCAGGGATGCTGGTTGTATTTTTTTTTTACCTTTTTTCTCTTCCCTTTTGAAAATATAGAAATGGAATTGTGTTACATGCAATGAATGTTCAGAATGTGTTATAATGTAATTATGAAGCGTTATATTATCCGATTTCCAGATTTTTTTTTTGCTTATCTTTTAGAATTTATTTTATCCTTGTTTACACAGAGCTGCTGATTTGTATTTGTGTTTGTGTGTATCGGTGTGTGTGTGTGTGTGTGTGTGTGCTCCTTCAGGGAATATACCGTGTAAATGGAGTGAAGACTCGAGTGGAGAAGCTGTGTCAGGCATTTGAGAATGGTAAAGAGCTGGTGGAGCTTTCTCAGGCTTCTCCTCACGACATCAGCAACGTGCTTAAACTCTACCTGCGACAGGTGAGAAGAAATGTACACAAAGTGGGGGACGTACAAGGGATGACATCTTATGGAGAAGAAAGTACATTAGTCTAATAGAGACTGCACTGGAATAATTCTGCCCCACTTTCAAAGGATCACTAAAGTCCTCAGTAACATTCACTGCCTTTACTCCTTCTCTTCAGCTCCCCGAGCCCATCATGCCATTCCGTATGTATAACGATCTCATGGGGCTGGCTAAGGAGAGCCTTCACTCTATAAGTCCAGAGAGAGGAGAAGGGGCTAAAGGCCCGGAGCTGGAGGACCTGGGGCCACAAACTGACCCAAAGGTGATCACTCTGGTGGAGAAACTCAGAGACCTGCTTAAGGATCTTCCACCCACCAACACCTCCACACTGAAATACATTGCGCGGCACCTGCGCAGGTGAGATACATACCTAAGGGCTAAAAAGTAAGGTAAAATCTGATCTATCTATCATATGGGTCTGCAATATGGTAGATACAGTGTCTACTGGCAGCGGTATAGCGTAATGGGTAACACTGCTGTCTTCCATGCATCTTGGCAGGTACCACTCGCTATAGCAATAATAGTCCCTGGGCAAGACTCCTAACATTACATTTGTCTTCCTCTGTAACAAGATTAAATTGTAAGTTGCTCTGGCTAAGATCTCCTGCCAAATACCGTACATGTGACTAAGGCTCTTAATTTCACTGTACTACACACTATATGCTATACTAAATACTGTATTCAGGAGGCAATAATGTAGTTTCCAGGCTCTGACTCATTTGTACTACAGTCAGGTCACCGTATACACATTGCAGACTGGTTAAAGTGATAGCTTGGAAAAAAAAAATCAAATTTACACAATTTACCTTACACAAAATGGAGTTGATCCGCCAAGGCATGTTTGGTGTCAGAAGGAAAAACATAACACATAGTGTATTTTCTTTCTACGTTTGTCCATCTTTATAGACCACAGTATGTTATTCAGTGTCTGGGACTGATGTAGGCAGTATGACAATATTTATCATTATTGTGATAAATTTTGTTGTCATGATAAATTATATTCTTTTCTGAGCATATCATGGATATCGTCAGTACTTAAAGAACACTGGCCCGTGCTTGGTAATGGTTAACCGAGTTACTGCATCAACCGGCTCCAGTGCAGGCTAAAAATTATTTAAAAAAATATATATATTTTTGTCTAACCATAGCAAGACAGCAGTATTCCCACACATGAACATACATTAATACCACATTTATTCTACCAAACATAGATGAGACTCTTCTAGAAATGTGGCTGTGCTGACTAAACACTCGGTATTGCAGACAGCTGTCATGCCTGTACAAAAAGCTGCCTCTGTGGTACGCTGTACATTTTAGGACATCCTCACACCACAGAGTCAGGTTTCAGACTGAAAAACGACTTTGGTCTTGAGAAGAACACATGAGTAAAACCGTCTCAGCTTTCATTCATCAGGCGGAACAGGCCATTTTAAACGGTCTCAGGTAAATTGGCTTCAGAGAAGAAGGCAAAGGGCGAAGCTAAGCAGCAACAAACTCTCAGACAGTAAAGTGTGGCATTTGCAATTCTGTTCTTTCTTACTAGATTAATTACAGTTTCTTGGCCAAATTAAAGATGACAAAGTACTACAACCACAACTTTTACTGAACTGCGCTTTATTTCGTTCTGTTATTTGACAAAGATTAATACTCAACTCAAATTGTGTTTTCCCATGTCCACTTCACTGTTAAGGGGTATGTAATGCCTACGACGCAAATATAGACATTTTATGTATTATCCAAAATGATCAATGAACCTACAATTTTTTTTTAAGCCTTTTTTTTTGGCGGGGGGGGTGGGGGGGGGGTGGTGGGGTGTCTGTTTTTTGTCTCACAATGCAGTGCATGTTCCTCTCCACCATGAATGAATTTTAAAAATATGTTTTAGGTCCAATCTCAAAACTATCATAAAACAATGCCTCAGATATTGGCAGCATATTCACTACCATTTCATGTAGCAACTTTCTGTGATAAGCTTTTAGAGGCATTAAATGTCTCAGACGTCGAGTTTCCATCAGCCCCACTGTGAAGTTTTCTGACTTAGTAAATTTCTCCAGAACAGAACTTTTCGCACCAACCACTCTGAATGACTTAGTTTACATCTTAATTATTTAATTATGGAGAAGTTTCAAAGACAACTTGATGCAGTTTGATGTAGTGTATGATGATTTAGACATGCAGTTTGCATGACGCTATCTGTATAACCTGTCTACTACATGTTAGCCTCATCAGCCTTGTAGCTCCAGTGCTAAACTAAAGAAGCAAACTTCAGAAACCAAACAGGTCCTGGCTGATTAAATACATTTAGGGTAAATGTAAATTAGATTTTTCACTGAGTCATGGCTTTAATATCAGATAACTAATCTCTGTGGTGTTTCTGTCTCAGAGTGGCTCAGCTGGAGCAGGACAATAAGATGAGCACCAGTAATCTGGGTATCGTGTTTGGGCCAACGCTGATGCGACCCAGACCCACAGGTGCCACCATCTCACTCTCCTCTCTGGTAGACTACCCGCACCAGGCCCGCATCGTGGAGGCCCTCATCATCTTCCAGCAGCACATCTTCATCTCCTCTGACTCTCGTCCACTCTCCTCATCCTCTCTGACCTTCATGTGCCAGGGCCAGGTGAGCGGAAAACAGTGTTAAATTTGGAGAAAATGGAGAACAAAGTTTTGTTCTGACAGTGACAATATGCACTGTGAGCAGTTAAAGTTGGTTCAGCAAAAAAAATAAAATTTGCAAGTTTGCTTCTTTAATTTAGAGCTGGAGCTATGAGGCTAATTCTATTACCAAGTAATGGAATCTTATAGTCACCAGTTATCGTCATGCAAACTGCACGTGTAAATCATCATCAGGTTTGTTTATATGGTGTCTATATGATGTACTGTTTTGTATAAAAATGACAAAACTGGACTATGTTCTGTACTTTTGTCCACTTCTGTAAATAACAGTATGTCCTACACTGTCAAAAAAGGTAAGTCATCACGATTTGAGACAAATGTGTAATGAATTAGGCCTACAGTTTGCACAATGCCAACAAATTGGCTGAACCAATGCTTTAAACTAAATAGGGTAAAAGTGGTACAAGACTGCTTATCTTAAGTAGATTAAGTTGATGTGAATAACATTTTTTTGTAGGAAAGTCCTGATGGAGCTCAAGAAGGTGAGGAGGAGCAGAGCAGACTGATCACAGAGCAGGACTGTGGTGAGATAGTAAAAGAACTTACCATATGACATCTTGCACAAGGTCATAATTCATAAGCACAGTTTACCTGATTACTGGCTCTGTACTTGTGCAGGTAACTCTCTGGGTTCGTCTGGCTCTCGAGAGCGCTCTCTGGACTCCGACTCCGAGGCTGAGGAGTTGGGCAAAGTGAGCAAACAGCGCCCACCTCTGGTTAGCCAGGAGAGTGAGACCAGCACAGAGGACGACCAGCTGAGTCCCAGAGTCAGCCTGGACCTCAGCACCATCGTACCAGAAACCATCCCAGAGCAGCCTGTCAGCACACCTGACTCTGAACCAGCAGATTCTGAGTAGCTTTCAGACTATTAGAGAACTAGAAATGGGAAATATTAACAAAACTTGATCAGTTGAAATCTGCAATACTACCATGGTAATATTTCTGATGGTGTAAGTATAAAAAGTGTAAAAAATGGATAGTCCGCAGGAGGACTCGACTAATTTCTTTTTGTTGTTTTTGTTTGTTTTTAGATGTATCCTCAATATCTGAACGTTCTTTCAGGCATATTTCCAAAGAGATGTTTTGTGATGTTTAATATTCTATAATGACCATAGGACAATATTTCAGTAATCTGAATTGCATTCTCTATGGACTTATTGTACCACGAGCAAATTCTGGAACATCTTTGATGGTCATAGGGCAAATATTTTGATATTTGAATATTTTTACTGATAGAGCACACAGGTTAAAGTACAGCAGGATTATTTGAATAGGTTTATAAACTTTTTCACTACTGATACTTAAACTACAGTGCTGTACATCTCAAGATCAGTCTACATTATTACATTTTGTTTTTTCCTTTTTGTACTAAGTTATAGTTTATACCATCTATTGTTGGATTTCAGTATTTTATTACCTGCCAACGTCTTTTTTTAACTTTTAATTCATCTGCTTGACTTCAGCAAGACATTGGTTGGAAGATACTGGTATTTTTGGCACATATGATTTTTCTATAAATGACAAGAAAATTATTTTGGTCTTAACTGGGGAACAAATGTGTATGATATACTATACGTTTGTATTTGCGGTATTAGCTTACTGCTGGTCAGTGCGCTACATCTAATACCTATATTGACTACTCAGACCTCTAAGCAGATTTTCAGATTATTATACAGAACATCACAGCATACGTATTTAGAGAGGTTTCCCTTCAACAATTTACATACAGTATATTTAAATCATATTTTATGTTTCTTTTTTAAATATTGTGTGTTTTTACTGTACATATATTTAGGCAGTGGTCGGATCTGTTACTGTCTCTAATTTGTAATGTTATGTTAAACCCAAGGTGTTCTGTAGGCACTTGGCACTGAATTCTATTCGTTTCATTCTCCTCATGTCTGCTGTATCAACGTAAACTGGAAACCCAGGTTTCTATATAAAAATAATATTATATATTGAGATCAGAGCAACAAAGGTATTGCCCTGATGCTCAGCTATACTCTCTAAAGTACTGTTCAGAATTAAATTCTTTGTTTTTAACCTGATGTGGTTATTACAGACATTTTCACCTAGCATTGCAAAATGTTCTGCAGTTTTCAATATGTAATTACAGTAGCACTTGTTAACTCACTCATTTGGGTCTAAAAATATACTGATGTTAGCTTGTTTTGTTTGTCTATTTAATTGTCCCCTTTTAACTCCTTAACTCTAAAAAAAATAACTCCTTTAAAAATAAGATGTTGAATGCAAATGTTTATCCGGTTACTTTATAATTAATGTACTTAAAAAAATAGAAGAAAACAAAAACAGTGGAATGTGCAAAAGCACGGGTGCTCAGTTCTGGTCCTGGAGAGTTCAGATCCAACTCAACAGGCTCTAATATTGAGATGCTCCCGACGGTCTTCATTACCTGGATTGTGTGTTAGAGTAGGGCTGGAGCTCAACACTGCAGGGTGATAGATCTCCAGAACCAGCTGGGCACCCCTGTGCAGACGCCAGCCTCTTTTAGGGTTTTAGTTTCTTGATTGTCACATTTACCTCCAGAATTTACTTATTTTTAGTGGAATCCATTCCTCCATCCACCTGTGCAGTGTTTCCTGTGCCACCAGCTGCCACGCAACCCCATAGTAGATCCTGCTCCACCTTCAACAGTTGGCAAAGTATTCTTTTCTTCAAATGCTGCTCCTTTTTTTTTTTTACCTCCAAACATGCCTTTGGTGATTGTGACCAAAGAGTTCTGTTTTTACATCATCAGTCCAGAGCACTTGTTTTCAAAATGCCTTTGGCTTTTCTAGATGTGTTTGCGTGCTTCAGACACTGCCTTTTGTGATGAGGTCACAGGTACAGTTTCCTTCTGATGACTTTTCCATGCAGATTATGAGTTTTCTTGGTCTTCTAGATCTCTTCTTCTACAGACAGTGGAAATTGTGAGCTGGAAGCTCTTTGATATCTTGTTATAGTGTTCCTCTGCTTTGTAGGCATCAGTAAGCTTCATTTTCAAATCACTAGCCAACTGCTTAGAGGAGCCAATCGTTGAGTGTTAGCACAATATTGGAAGAGTCAGAGAATTTTTACTCTTCCTAATGAATTCCTGCCTAACCAGCCCGAATGAGCGAATTAAAACTCAACGAGTTAAGTGAAGTTCTGAGACTTAACAAACAGATGGGGTCCAAACTTCTGCACATGCCACGATTACTATATTTTTCCATTTTTTTTGTTTGCGGCAGAGATAAAAAAAAAATAAAAAAAAAATCAAAATCTGGCCAAAACTTTTACATACAACTGTACATCATACATTTTATGTCATTTGTAATAAACTAGGGCCTCATTTGCCATCTACATCCAAAGTATTAAAGCTGGTGGAGGTGTGTATCTGCCTGTACCAAACCATGTTGCGGATTATGTGAACTGAGGCTGAAAGATTAAGGCCTGTCTGTCAGAAAAACAAGTTTAATTGAACAGTTTTCACAAATATAAAGAGGTTAAAGAGATGAATAAAAACATTACTACATTTTAAAAATGAAGAAAAAAAAAATGTCACACAGGCACTGCCATCTGTCTTGACTCCAAAAGCATGTTGGTTCATGCAACACTTCAAGTATGTTCCAAAACAAGCACTATCCACATTCCCGACAGATAACCTGAGAGAAATAAAAAAGATCCAGTAATATAATGAACCAGATTTTACAACACAGTACTGACTACCAGTATAAGTTAAGTGATTAGAGTTCTAGTATACCTAGAAGTAGCTTCATGTTATATTGTAAAATAATCATTGAGTATTATAAAGGACTCAAACTTACCACAGTGGCCCTACTGTACAAGTCGGTATGTGATATATCGACCTGCAGTTTCACTGGGCCTGATGATCTTCACCACCTGATTACAGAGAGAAATAAATAAACAATCTCAGATGTGCTGACAGGGCTGCAGATACCATACTGTGACTTATACAGATTAAATATTGTGCTGCATTATTTTTGACTGATATTCTTCTGATCACACGAAAATCTTAATTCATATAAACACTAACATGCAACATCTGTGATTGGTCAGAATATTAACAGCACACAAAAAATGTTAAAAGTTCATTTGTATACATTGAGCCTTCTGCAATATCAGCATCACAAAGACCAATATTTTGCTAACAATTAATGAGCAATATATTGTGAAGCCTTATGTGGCTGCACACTTCACCATTTTAATGAAGAAGTGTGTTTGTCTGGTGTTCTATTGTTACCTGTCCTCGTTTGATTCCAAAATATCGAGCCACTGGATCTCCAGCTTGAATCCTGGGTAACTGGCTCTCCTTCAGCTTACTGACAACAGTCAAGAAAAGTCCACTCAAAGAAACAATGCAAATGTTCACAGCTCATAAATCAGGCCACAGTCGTCCTGACTGTGTATCTATATTTGCTATTATAACACTGTGGAAAAAACTGAAACTGGCACTGAAGCTCAGCATCAGAAAATAACGATCAGTGAAAGCTTAATTCTAACAGGTAAAAGCCATGTTTTAATAAAGGTTTCTGAATGGTTCTTCACTTGGATGTACAGTTCTAAGAAAAACCTTTATTTGGAACGACACCTGACATTATGTAAAGGTTCTCTGAACTTTAAAAAAGTTCTTCACACTAACATTTCATTTCCAGTTAACTCCTGTTTGGTTCCTATATTTTAAAGACTAATGAAGTTCCAGCCTGTCTTGTATCGTATCAGCGTTAGTAAGGATACTATCTTGCTAGCAGCTCGGCCACTTCTTCCTTTGTCATCACAATGTGCTCAGGAACAAGCTGCAAAAGTCAAACACAGCAATGATGAATTCATAGCTACAAACAGGGGTCATCTTCAGACCTAAACACTCACAAGATCTGGATTGTGGAATCACTTATGTATTAAAAAAATAAATTCTGTAGACTACAGAACTAATCCTGACTGTCAAACACGCTTAACATATCTACAAAAGACCACTTCTCTGCCATGCTAAACATAATCATTCGATTCATTGCATGGTTAAGTTTACGCATTTATTCTTTATTCAGTCTCAAACTGTCATTTTTGTACTTGTGCTTTTTGCAAAACACTTCAGTAACAACTGGGAACGAAAGACTTAAACATAATCTAACCTCGTGCTCTGTGATGTTGATAAGCAGCTCCTGTTGTAGAAACTGCTCCAGGATATATTTGGGTGCCATGTCCACCAACGACTACAAAAACAACAACAGACACACTCAAGTAAAATAGTATGTGAAAGATAACTGTACTTTCAATTAGGACCCGAAAGATAATAGTGGCCAATACTGACAACCACTGACCTCCACTTCTGCATAATTCAATGGTTATGATGTAAAACAAGTCATTGAGTGGTTTGATGTGAAATGCTTCATTCTAGAGAAACTTACTGACTCCAGACTTCTGAAGCATTTAATGTCTCTAAAAACTACATCACAAAAAGTTATGCATGAAATGGTTACTAATATGCTGCCTGATACCGGAGACATTGTCTTATGATAGATTAGAGAGATTTTGGTTTAAAATGTATTTTTTTAATATACACGCAGGACACTAAGAAAAAAATGAGGCACCACTTCACATCAAACCACTCTGAATGACCTGTTTAACATCTTTACAACTGAATTTTATAGACATTTTAAAAATTCTATAAAAACTGGGATTCCCCTTTAAATTATTGTTAAATATAAAATTAGACTGGCTGACGTTGGTTATCGGTTCATATCAGTCAATAAAGGTATAAGCTCATACAAACTCATTTGATACGTTGCCATGGTGCAGATGTAATGTGTGGATATTCACAATTACACATCCATGTGGCAAAGTCTTACAAACTGTGCAAACATTGGAAGCCAAAGTGATACAAAGTTCTCTTAGAATATACAAGGATTTATAACCTTAAAGACAAGAGCCCTATTATAACTTGAATAAAGTAGTGTAATAAATGGAAATGTAAACCTTGAGTTAAGTGAACAAACACAAATGTTTACACAAAAATAGAGAACTGTTGTGCTTAAATGGGAACTCAACATTTCTACAAAATGCAATGGTTAAGGTGTAAACAAAGTCATTCAGAGTGGTTTGGTGTGAAATGCTTTGTTCTAGAGGAACTTATCAAGAACGCTTTACAGTAGTGGTGATAGGAACTAGACGTCCACTTCTAAAAGCTCCACCACAGAGCGTTATTACATGAAATGGTTATGAAAATGTTGCCTGATGTCTGAGACACTGGTTTATGACAGTTTTGTGGTAGTTTTGGCTACAACTTTTTGTTAATTCATTTAAAGCAGGGCAAAAATCGTCCCCCCAGAAAAATATATTTTCAGGTTTTTCCACTATTTAACATCATAAACATTACATATAAAAACTCAGAAGACACGTGTAGGTTCACTAATGGTTTTGGATAGTAAATAAAATGGCTATATGTGTGTCATAGACGTCATGACCCCTGGTTCCTATCACCATCACCGTAAAGAAATCAGAGTCTGTAACTTTCTCTACAGTGAACCATTTTGCATCAGACCTCTCTGAAGGACTGTTTAGATTGCAATGACGGAATTATGCAAAGATTTAGAAAAATTGGTGGAATTCCCCATTAAGTAGTGAAGAGTGAATGAGTGCACGGTGGTGTTAACCTGGAGATAACCATGAATAAGTGCATGCTTTTCCTACCTGTTTGGCAGAAGGAGTCATGCCCATCTGGACCACAATGATGGCGCGGGTGATGTTCTCCTCCTGCATCCGCTGGCAGTACATCTTTATGGTCTTGATACCCACTTTGGGCTCCTCTGCATAAATACAACACACTATAATGTAGCGTAGCAGCTCTGAAGAAGATTTCATTCATCATAACAAGCCAAAAACGTCTCCCTTACAGTGGCACTAAAGCCACGGACACACAACATGACTTTCCACTCAACTCCACACAATACAACTTGCTGCCTAGTGTAATCAGGAATCTTGAAGTCTTTGTGGTTTGTATACTAAATGACTGATCAGCAACAGGGAGTCACATATTACAAGATCTTTCACCAGGTGAGTCTGTCTGATCTCCAAACTATGTTTTGTCATGAAAACATAAGTGACGCGGGGAATGATATGATACGTGAGACAGGGATTTTTTTTCTGGCAGAAATGGACGTCAGCAAGAAGCGAGCGATGTAAATCGTCACCCTGTGTTTTGCGCTCTCACAGGCTGTAGCTTGTCGCCGCACTCACTGACAGTCACAACACTTTTCACACTACAGTATTTGGACCCAGTGAGAGGTCTGCTTGATGTCTTTTGGGTATCTGCGAGACACCAACAAATTTCTCGGATCAGGGTCTTTAAACAATCCACACACAGGGATCGAGAGCCGATTTGCAAGTCCCAAGCGAACGCTGATTTGCCTTGAGCGGAGAATCAGGGCTAAAATCACGCAGTGTGAATGCAGAGATGACCAGTTCAGGATTCTTGATCTTTTCACATAAAGAAATTCCACAGCTTTTCAAAACATTTTTTCTTTCTACTTAAAGAGCAACTCAACCAATTTTTTAAATTTTCTACATAATTAGATGCTTCAGATGTAAACAAAGCACTCAGAGTGGTTTGGCGTGAAACGCTTTGTTCTAGAGGAACTTATTGAGTCAGAATTGTTCACAGTGGCAGTGAAAGGAACCAGACGTGCGCCTCCAAAAGCTCCATCACAGAAAGTTATTGCATGAAATGTTTTTGAAAATGTTGCCTGATGTCTAAGACATTGTTTTATGATAGTTCTGTGGATTTTTCTGCAATCTCCAAATACCTTCTCCGAGTGGAAGATCAGGGCTAAAATCATTAGTGTGAACACGGCATAACTGGAGATGACCAGTTTAGCATTCTTGCTCTTTCCACAGCTTTTCAAAACTTTCTGCAGACTGCCTTTTCAAGTTTTGCAAATCCCATAGGGGTCCTAGCAGAATTCAGATAAACAAAGGCCAACACTGCATGTAAAATGTAGGTTTCAGAATTAAATGCCAATCTACATAGTGATATGCAAGGCTGGTGCATGTTGGGGAAATGACTGGAAGCTCTCACACTTTATTTTATGTAGCAGTATTCAACTTTTTTGACATGATAATTGTGATAACGGTTTAAGTAATTAACATGATAAACTAGGCACCTGTCTACCATTATGTTATATTACATTTCAGGGCATGTCAATATTATATAGCAAATTATCAGTGTTAAATTTAACACCTATAGGGTTCATCTAAGTCCCCCAAACACAAATGAACACTGTATTTATTACCTACTCTGACAACAAATTTGCAGTTATCACTTCAAACACTCAATTTAAGAGGGTATGTGACAATGACCAATGGTCTTCCCTCTTTACATTAAGGTAATCACAAGGTTACAGAAGACTTTTCTTTACACAACTAGGTGATTTCTGTGAATGGGGTTATTATAGTGGTGCTGTGTTGAAGCTTTCCAGTTTTATTTAAATCCCAAATGGTATTATTTTTGTTTTTTTCTTTCTTCTTCTTTTCTTTATTCCTCTGTAGATGTTGCTCAAAGAAATTGACTTCAGTCTGTGAATGTTGAGCTTTAATGTATCCTACTGTTATTCCATTATTGTATAAACGGTTATTAACGGTTAGTAACGCAATAAAAAAACTAATTAAGTGTTGAAGGGCAATGCCACTGATTTTTAAACTGTAAGAGAGATTATTTATTATATCATTATTATATGTAATAGTTTACGATAATGGTGAGATTATTTATAAATCTAAAAAAAACTTTCTTTTGAGCTCTACTTTGACACAAAAGCCCTGCATGTTCCTCTCCGCCATTAATAAATTGAAAAAAAATACGTTTTTGGTCAAAAACTCACCTTAACTCTACTGTAAAACTGTGATGTAGCTTTTAGAAGCATTAAACACTTCAGACGTCTGGTTCCCGTCAGCGGATCTTTTGACACCAAAACACTCTGAATGACTTCGTTTACATATCTATCATTTAACGACGCAGAATGTGTGAAATTCTTTGGGTCTGCACAAACTACACGGCTCACCGGGAAAGAAGACGAACATCTGGTCGGTGGGATCGTCGTTGTGAGCCACCAGCACGGTGAGGTCAGTCCGCCGGGGGCGACCCTCACTCGGTTTATCTCCAAACTGGCTCTTAAACTCATCCAGAGTCTGATCCAGCTCATCCTGGGTCACTAGATACCCCCGATCATGGCACAGCTGAGAGAATACAAGCAGGAGATGAACTCAGCACGAAGAGAAACGAGACAACTGAACATCCACATCACGCCGAGCGCGTCAGCAGCGCTCCGGTCAGCACAGCCTCACCTGCATTATCGTCTTCCGGATCTTCCACAGGCGGTAAGTCTCCTCTTCATCGTCCATGATTATGATTATGATCTGTATCTCTTATCAGTGAATGATCTGTTTGAGATCAATGGAGGCCACTCAACAAACTACACACGCTACAGGAAAACAACTTCCGGCTCTGGCCAAATCACGTCATCTGACGAGCCGCATTAGGGCCCAAAGTGGTGTCTATTTAACTGCCAGCGGTGGCCCACAAGGCAAAAAATACAGTAATACTGTAAGAAACTCTGCAGGAAAACCGGGAAGCACAAATACTTAGACTTTTTATTTTGACTGTTTTTTTTTTTTTTTTTTTGTATTTCAAATTTTATTTAAACTATTAAATACAGGGGTAAAGAATTAAGCATACCGAACGTATTCTAATGAAATAACAACACATACCTTCGCATATAAATAACACAGTTAAATACAAAAACCCCCAATAATAATAATAATAATAATAATAATAATAATATCTGGTATGTAATTCATGTACATGGATATGATGTTTCTCAATGCAGCGCTCTAATAATTTAATCTAACCGAAGAGATGTTTCTTTAGATTTTCTTGTTCTGTTGTATTTGTAATAAGGAATCATAAAAAATGGCAGGTCATTGCAGAATAGCCTAAATTAGAAAGCAATGCCATGAGTCTGATTTCACCCAATAAAGTTAATAGTTTCATAACCTCATTTAAACTACTTGAATTAGTATCATAGTTCAGGAACATCATCTCATTTATAGAAATAATTAAGTGTAGAGACATGAATAGCATTAAGGAAATCTCCTTCCAAAACTCAGGACAAAATGCAGGTACAAAATAAGTGAGTAATAGTTTCTAAAGCAGAACAGCCAAAAGAACATCGTGATGAAATATCAATTTTAAAGTTATTAAGCAAGACATTGCAAGGATGACAAATGTGTATGTTTTTAAAATGAGACTTTAACTTTATTTGACCTACTATGATTCTTGGAGGAGTCCTGTAGAAATTACTCTAGTATTACTGTACATCGTTTTTACTGTAGCATCATCATACAAAATAACAGCAGCTATAATTGTAATAAAAATACTACAAACGATTTGTTTTACTGTGGAATCATTCATACAAAAGTGAGGTGGGGAAACATCACGGAAATACAATTATTGAAAAATGGTAAACATTTCAGGGAAGATACGGAGATTTTGATGAGTTTAAAGTAAAAGAAGAAATCATGTTTAACTGAAACCCCACTTTGTTTGTTAATGCAATGTTAATGCAATGAACTTACTTAGTACAAGCTCCTCCCAAGTATGTCTAAAAGCATAATAATGTTATTTAACGCGGGATCATACATTCTTGAGTGGGATGGAGGAATATCACATACCTTATATTACTCCTATGTATACCAGATCCTGTATTATTATCTTTTGTTAAGTGATTAAAAGCTCGATCTTATTTATGTATTATGGTCAGAATGGAACGGTTATTCCGGTTGTGGGTGGAGTTTCCAGCTCGTGTTCTCTGATTTCATTGGCTTAAAAGGAGAGTAGAGGCGGAGCTTATTTGGTGGTTTATCCGATCAAAATGCGGTTAGTTCGTCAAGCGCTGCTGTTCGGGGTGCTCGGGGGGAGAAGCTTAACCAGAGCCATGGTAAGAGACCGGAATGTTGACATACTGTTTTAGTCTCGTTTTGTCGCTTTACGTTTAGATTTAAAATGCAAGGACGACTGGAAGGACGACATGTCGAGTGTGAGAGGTGTGTTCGTTGTGGAAATGCTCGCTGGTGTTCCTGTTAATTCATTCCGATGCGGATGAGCATGGGCGTTAGCTTAGCTTAGCTAGCCTGCGCAGTCAGCAGAGCTCTCCTGGGACTAGGCTGACTGTTTTCCTGTACCTGACGACCTCGTCTGTTTAGTATTGTAGCTTCCTGTCTGTAATTATATCTGTGTTTGTTTAAAGATGCTACATGGCTCAGTTTATCATGTTAAGTCCAGTTTGAGTGTTTATTAGCTTAGCACTGAAGCTACTTAACGCTAGCTAAGCTTATTCCATAAACCAAGTGTGGTCTGGTAGCTAAAGAATTAAAGGCGAATACTGTTTACGCTCATGGTGGCCTAGTAAACCGCACTGTGTCACTGTAATTAATTTTGTGGTTAGTTATTATTTCTCAAAATTAGTAAACTCAAGTGGTGAAGTCATTCTTTGGTTGATTCATTTGAGCTAACGGCCAGCTACTTTTCTTGGAACAAGTTCACAGGGTTAAAGGGGAACGCCACCGACTTTTCATAAACATTATTAAACATTATTAAACGATTAGAATGTATACGAAGCTGTTCATAGGTTTGGTGCAAAATGCTCCGTTCTAGAGAAACTTGCAGAGTCAGAATTGCTCACAGTGGTGGTGACAGGAACTAGATGTCTGACGAGTTGAATGCCTCTGAAAGCTGCCTCACAGTTATTACACGAAATGGTTATGAATGCTGCCTGGTGTCTTTATGTTTTGTGATAAAGTTGTGGCTTATAATGTATTTAAGTCCATTTATTTTAAATCATTCACAGCAGAGAGGTACATGCAGGGCGTTGTAAGGCAAAATAGTCCCCAAAGAAAAGTTATGTTTTTAGATTTATGACTATTTTACCATCATTAACATTACATAGAAAAACTCAGACATATGTAGGTTCAGTCTGTAAGTTTCTCTACAGTGAACTGCTTCACATCAAACCACTCTAAATGACTCTGTTTACATCTCACGGAATTATTCAGAAATTTTAGGAAAAAAAATGGTGGAATTCCCCTTTACAGTTTATTATTGCTTGCAAATAAATTGTATTATTTTGTGTACTGGACATATGTCATCACTGAGCTGTCACTTTTTCCTAATGTAACATTTAGTATTCTGTAATGTCACTCTGAGGAATGTAGTTTTGTCAAGTTGTGATCAATCTCTCTTGAATTATTGAGGGAATGAATTTAGTCTATATTTAAGTCTATACTTTATTTGAAAACTGCAGTAGGATGGAGGTTGTGTTTGAAATGGAAATGCAGCCCATTTGACTTGCTGGACTACACATTTTTAGTAAAGCAAAGTCAAATTTAGGGTTGGGCAAAATGACATACAGAACATCATGCTAATTGAAAATATTTACCACCATATATGACAGTCTGAATAGTGTTGTGTGGCTTCACTATTCAGGATCCTCCTCAGTTGTTTGTTCACTAGGCAAGATTATGGATTACAGTGAAATCTGTTTAGCTTTAACCATGCAGGTTATCTTAATCTGTCACAACAACCACATTAAGCCCCTTTGCCTTAGCTCTAGCATTATCAAAAGATCTTGTCTTCAAACACAGTAAATATATATTTATTTACAATTACCTATTTGTTTGACAGTTGTATGCCAAGCACTTGTATGTAAGAGCTAATACAAATCAATTCTACTTCCATATCTCACTTTGTCGTATTAGTTTTGAGTGCATGTCAACATGTACATTGTTATGACAAGATAGACACAAATGAGGTCTGTAAATGTTAATCCACCAGTGGAGATTTTGCTGTGTTGACACTAGAAACTGCAGCTTATTTTTTCTTCAGATTGTGCAAAAAGCTGAAGTAGTGAGTCACCAATTACGCCACTTCACTTTCTTTCTCGGTCTATAGATGTTTCTTATTTTGAGTCTTTGGTGTGTTCTTTGTGATCTTTACCCCGATTGCCTTTCCCTTCCTCACTGCAGTGTGCGCAGGCCGACGACTGGAAAAGCGCTAAGTCTATTTATGAGTTCTCTGCAAAAGACATTGATGGAAATGAGGTGTCTTTGGAAAAATACAGGTGAGGAAAGAATTCTTTTTTTTTCCCATTTAAAAAAAAAACTTTTAGCAGTATTATCTTCAGTGTGGTGCAGAGAAGATCACCACAGTATATCAGTTATAGTATATGAGCTCCAAACCCATAAATCCAAAAATTAAACTCAAAATATCATGATGGAATTTATCAGAACATTATATACCACCATATTGCCCTCCCTTCACAGTTCACAGCATAATCTGTATATTAAGCGCAGTGAGCTTAAGATATGTTAAAGAAATTGATTGCTTACATAGCAGTGACACTGCTGGATTTGACAGCCATCATGCTAGTCACCATACAACAATACAATACAATATGATAAACTGCATTGCTGTAAACTACAATGTTAATGTTTTGTTGATTTTTTTCTATGTGAAGAGAGAACACACTTCTGCATTTTGTAATGCACAAGTACTGTTTATTTGCTGATTGCAGAATATTGGGGGAAAAATAATTTTTTTATATTTATACTTTGTGTTATTATTTTCCAATGTGTTAGAAGTTGCACACTAAAATTTGCAGTAAAATACCATAGCTTTGTTTGTTCCCTGGAGAGGATGCGTTAACTTATTTTCAGTTAGAAGATCAACAAAACGTAATTTGACGATGATACATCCTTATTTATGTAATGTAACGTTGTGATTAAAGTATTCTTTATATCTTATATAAAAATGTGCAGTGTCGTGATATAATATTTTTGCCATATTGTCCACTCCTGCCCCTAATTGCTCTTGATCTCTCTATCTCCAGAGGCTTTGTCTGCATCATCACAAATGTAGCCTCTAAATGAGGAAAAACCCCTGTAAACTACACTCAGTTTGCGGCCATGCACGCCACGTACACTGAGAAAGGTTTACGCATCCTGGGTTTCCCCTGCAACCAGTTTGGAAAGCAGGTATAGTATAAACCAAATGGACCAAGTATAGACCTAATACAAACACTGAACCTTGTCAAAGTCATTCTGATGCCATTTTGGATGTTACGGGCATTCTGGGAGCCCTCTGTTCCAGCTTTTGTTAAATCATTCATCATTTTTCACACTCATCTGTCTCTGCTGCATCTGTAGCATATGATTTGATTACCACAGAGAATATTTTGGTGCATTTCACTGTATGATCAGAACAAAACTTTGACTCAAATCACATTTATAAATGAAGCCAATGGGCAGATGCTTCAGCTTCTGTTACAAGGATGTACAAATGTGCGAAGGCACCTGCCCATTGGCCTCCATAAGTATGTTGTGAGTGACTGAGTTGTTGTTGTAGGTAGTAATCAACTGTATGCTACAGGTAAAAAGGATTTTTAGGATAGATGGGAACACATAAAAACAAATTTGAATTAATCTGCAAAGTTACTGTATGGCAGAGAACTCTCCTTTCTTACTTACTCTTATGTCCTGCTCAAAATGAGATATCTCAAAATAATGACATAACCTCCCAGAATAATGACGTATTATTCTGAGATAATATCTCATTATCCTGAGAGGCTGTTATCTCAAAGTAACATCTTAGTATCTCACAATAATGAGATAGTATTTAAATTTTTTGACTTAGTATCGCAAAATAATGGTATAGCAATTCACTTAATAGCAAAAAAGTAATAATTAGGTGCTGGATTTTTTTTTATTTTGAGTGGCAGGAATGGGCTTCCATAGATAACATAATAAGCGAAAAAAGGAGCGTAAATTTTCCAACATGCAAGTGGTTTTAAAAGGATTTTCAATTAAAAATCACCATTGATATTGCACAGTAGTCAAAGGCTTGGCTTAGTGGTTAGAGAATTAACCCATGGAGTAGCTGTTTACTACATACAAATCAAGTTCGTCTGCTCTTATCTGTACACTGTAATTAGGTCGGAGGTCAAAGTGAGGTAGAAAATGCATCATAATCTCTTCTTGCTACCTTTTATCCACTTGCAGAAAAGGGGTTTCCAAAGCTGTGATGCAAAATAAGTAAACCATTAAACTGCAGCCATAAAAATCTTAATGATGCCTTAAATCACTTTTGCTGGAATGTGCACAGCTCTTACATACAGAAATAGTACTATCTCTGTCATACTGAAGCTGCAGATGATAATGTACTATTTCTAGTATGTGCCAGAGAGTCCTTTACCATCAGATAGATCAGCTGTTGCATAAATAAAATGGACTCACATTGTGTTGTTATCTTCTTTTAGGAACCTGGTACAGAGGCAGAGATTAAGGAGTTTGCAAAAGGTTACAATGCAGAGTTTGACCTCTTCAGTAAGATCGACGTGAACGGGGATAGTGCCCACCCGCTCTGGAAGTGGTTGAAGGAACAGCCAAAGGGGAAAGGCACTCTGGGAAAGTAAGTTGTATTTTTATATGAATTCTGCTTTCATTAGTTATAGAATCCCTCTCGATGACTGGAAAACTCAAAGGGCTCACATAATGGAAAACCAATTTTTTAAAAGTTCAGTTTCATGGAGTATGTTTCAATGTACTATTCATTTCCTATGCAGTCCATATATTGAAAATGATTTACAAAAACAATGTTTTAAATTCCATGTTTTTGTGATGTCATGAAAACCACTACTTTTATATCCACATATTCAGCCTACAGCAGTTCAGCTACGCCCATTTATGTTGAAGTTGTAAGGAGTCTGCATTTTGAATGAGGCACAATACAGAAGCAGCCGATCAGAACAGAGATTATATATAAATCTCAAAGGCACTCTAACAAAAACAGCCTGTTTAACTTTACTGGAAACAGAGAGGTTGGAAAATGTAAAAAGTGAAGCAAGACTTTTTGGTACATAAACTCACACTGTCATCATAATTGACCTGAGGTAAAAAAATAAATAGTGAAAATGAAAATGTACTGTATGACTGCTTTATTGCATTTGTATTGTATTGTAAATTTCCAACAAATGTTTGCTACCTCTGTGTTGCATTTTTTTCTGAAATGATTTACACTGCTTCTCTCTCTCTCTCTCTCTCTCTCTTTTTATTTTTTTATTTTTTTATTTTATTATTTTTATTTTTTTCTTCTTTCTCTGTCTCTCTCTCTCTCTTTCTCTCTCTCTCTCTCTCTCTCTCTCTCTCTCTCTCTCTCTCTCTCTCTCTCTCTCTCTAATGCTCTGTTTTTAGCAACATCAAATGGAACTTTACCAAGGTAAATCTTTTCAAAATGCACAAATCAGAGTAATCATTAAGTGTCAAAAGCATGTGAATGATTCACATTCATTAACTCTAAATTTCTGTTCTTTTTATTTATTTTGTAGTTTCTCATTGACAAAGAGGGCCAGGTCGTGAAGAGGTATGGACCAATGGATGATCCAAGTGTAAGTTTACTTATCTAAATACGGAAATGAAGATGTTTCTTGTACATGCTTAAAAATAGAGGTCCCATTTTGGTTCTTGGCTTGGATGTACAGTCCTAGGAATAAACCTTTTAATTAATATTTGAACATTTACATTCTGTGGAGCTTCTTTTCAGCGATAGAAAGGGTATTTTATTTACACTCTCCAATCTGGATTTTTTTTTAAAGAACCATCCACTGAAAGCTTCTTTAGTGAACCAAATGTGGTTCTTCACTGACATTGCTCCAAAGAACTCTTTTTTGTACTTTTTTATTTTTAGAAGTTTATATGAAAACAGGAACATTTTTACATTTTCTTCAGGTGCTGCTTTTCTTGTAAATTTAATCCTGTATTTGTTTTCATCAAATACAGGTCGTTGAAAAGGATCTGCCAAAATACCTGTAACTAGTCTGGACTGATCCACCGTCCGTCCCCATTGTCTAACAGTCTTCCTGACCCCCCTGCATTTCTGTGAAAAGCTGGGTACTCTGAGGTCTTTTTCCAGAATAATGATGGCCTCTCCCCAAACCTGCATGCAGGTAGGAATGGCCTGATGACCCTTGGCGTGCATACCTCCCTCTGGGAAGACCCGGCAATACCCAGGCATCTTGGCAGAGTGCAGGCTTAGTGTATTCATCCCTACACTATCTACTGATGTCCTCAGTCAAGTACTTAAATGTTCACTTTTTAGTAATAACAATAATAAATAAAGTGAAATTTGCACTTGGTGTGGTTGTTTTGTCTGTATGTCTTTGTGGGGTGGGTACTTAAGACAGAGAATGGTTAACAAAACCTGTTCTTATTTTCCAACACTAGGGCTTTCCTTAAGGCAGGCACTTGTGAAAACGTGGTAAAATGTTACCAACATTGTTGTTGTTTTTTTTGTTTTTTTTCTTTCTGAACATTTTGTCTCATCTCTGAATTGAACGGTTTATTTACAGATATATTTTTACTGAAGAATTCATGAAAGAGTTCAAAAAACTTTTTGCACAAACATTTACTGACGGAGTTCAGCAAATTCCAAATTACGGTTTCTTTTAGAAGTGGTCTTAGCGTCCAAGAGTTTTCTGTTCCTGACCAAGCACAAGGAAAAGTGTCAGAACTGTTGTTTGGGGTAATTATTTACAGATGCGTCAAGGGCGGCGCGGTGGCGCAGTGGGTAGTGCTGTCGCCTCACAGCAAGAACGGCCTGGGTTCGGTTCCCGGCCGGGCGACCAGGGTCATTTCTGTGTGGAGTTTGCCTGTTCTCCCCGTGTCTGCGTGGGTTTCCTCCGGGTACTCCGGTTTCCTCCCACAGTCCAAAAACATGCAGTCAGGCTGATTGGACATGCTGAATTGCCCCTAGGTGTGAGTGTGTGACTGTGTATGTCTGTCTGTCTGCCCTGCGATGGACTGGCGACCTGTCCAGGGTGTATCCTGCCTTCCGCCCAATGAGAGCTGGGATAGGCTCCAGCACCCCACCGCGACCCAGAAGGATAAACGGTTTAGATGATGTATGTATGTATATGTATGTACAGATGCGTTGTACAGATAGAGATTAGCCTTAACAATGCTGGAGTGTCCCTTTAATGTTAGCACATTTAATGAGGCCGTACTCTGCAGTTAGGGACTCTCTCGCTAGGGCGCAGTATTGTGCTACTTTTAAATGAGCTGCAATATTTTGTGCAGTATTTCACACAGTTAATCATGTTTTTTAAAAAAGTATCTTTTAATAATTAATTGATCCACTATTTGGTGTCATCTGTATTTATACAGCATCCAACATATATGCATAAAAGTGAGTTCCACGATTTTTGAATTTATAACAAAAGCTTTTATAATTCGGATCCGTGACTCGTTCAAGTGATAAAAATCATATGAAAATAGAAATTATGTTTTCCTCCCCGTTTATCTGGTAATTTGGGCTTGACGTCACGTGAAAGCTCACACTGTCATGAAATCGCCAAGCCAGCCGCGTGACGTGGTCGCGGGGTTCTACGGCGTTAGTGAGGGGAAAACTGAATCACTTTAGTGAGCCGATTCAGTCGAATCAAAAGCCTAATGTAAAAGAATCAGTCGACACTTTTCTCTTAATCATCCAGAAAACGTTAACTGGGAAATCTTGCTTTGTGAAATGCTCCCTTTAAATTAACAAGGCCCTGATATTAGGGCATTGTTAGATATAAGCATATCTTATTAGATATAATATTCGTAACTGTATACTGTCATTGAGGGCGCTTCAGACGTCTGGTTCCTATCACCACCACTGTGAACAATTCTGACCAGGGGAATTACGGAAAACAGTCAACAGTCATGTCAAACCACTCTGAATAACTTAGTTTACATTTCAACCATTTAATTATTCAGAGATTTAAAAAAAATGCCTCTATAAAGGCCTCTATAAGCTACATCATAAAGATATAAAGCTCTCTACAAGGCACCATTTCACATCAAACCACTCGGAATAACTTTGTTTACATCTCAGAACTGAATTATACAGAAAACAAAGTGTGTAATTCCCCTTTAAATAGTCAGAGAGCGGCTACTGTTGGGAGTTGTATTAGAAACATTCAAATAACAAGTTCGATTCATTTGGGACTTGGAATCGGTTCAATCGAGTTACTGAAAAGAAGCAGTTCGAGAGAGCCGGTTTCTTCCCAAACTGATTCGTTCAGGTTCGTTCATTGCTCTTCGACATCCGCGGCGAGTGCAGGCGGCCAACGGACGGTGGCGAAACGGAGACGGAGGACTGACGTGCAAATATGTAGGCTTAAAATCAGAAATACAACTCAAGGCCGCCAATGACGAGAGCTCGGGTCCCGCCTGGTTCTTCACTGTAACCGCGAAGCCCCTGTTCATCCGGAGCTGATGGAGGCCGGGGGGAGCTCATCTTCAGCCGGGGCCGCTGGCTCAGAGGAGACGGAGACTGTCATTGGAGTAGGATACGGCATGGAAGGTGCGTGCTAGGGGGTGTATTTTTTGTATTTTCCCCACTGTCACTGAGCAGGTTTGCTTCAGTGCAGTCTACTTACGAGGCTGAAGTTCCTATTCGCCAGCTTCTTGTTAGAATTCTCCCGTTCCACCTTAAATGGTGCAGCAGGTACAATTTGAGGCGCCAGAACGAAACTGCTGCACTATTTAAGGTGGAACGGGAGAATTGGAATAAGAAGCTGACTTCAGCTTCGTGCTCCTCTTTCAAACGATGCTTGAAGAATGCAGGATTTGACCATATAGGCTGTGAATGCAACATTATAAGAAATGTTACACCATAGCAAATCTGCTGGAAAAGCTAGCGAACACTAAATTCCTATGTCCTATGATATCCTCTGTGTTTATGTCTCCTGTGGGAGATTAGCATGTGTCCAAAACCAAGACCGTCCAAACTTCAAGACAGCTCGGTTATTTTTCAAACAGCTGAAGTGTCACATAGTCCAAAAATATCACATTTTCTTTGGTGAAAAGCCTACTGACATGGCTAGTGTGGGCTGAAGGACACTTGCCTTACAGGAGTGTCCTTGGCAGAAACACTGAAAGCAGTAACATCGCGATTAGATAAGCAGTGCAGTTTTGGTTCAGACTGTTAGAGAGCTGCAGTTTTCCCCCTCACTGAAGCCCTGTGTTGACAGCTGCGAGCTTCTTCCTGCAGTATCCCCCTGGGGGTGTAAGTCCTAGACGGGTGAGGGGGTCTCTCTCAGGTCCTGTGCTTCCCTGGGGCTTGTGCCATGCTGTGTGGTTTTGCAGCAGACTCTGCCTGTGCTGATCCCAGGGCCCTGCTGGGAAAAGGCTGATAAACCTGGTTTGTAGTCAGGGTTTTCTGCAGAGCAGGTCTGTTTGTGATGAGGCACCATGTGTGGCAGCAGCGTGTGTCTTTATGTGATACAGAGATGTGTGTGTGAGTACTGGGATTGTCACAATGCCAGGATTTTGGCTTTGTAGTATCACGATGCTCAATACAAAAATTAAACAAAAAAAGAAAAGTACACATTTGTGATCACCTTAAAACCTTCTGTCTGTTGGATTTATCCCAGAAAATGTCTGTAATTTTCAAATCATCTCAAAACCTTTAAAATGTTAAATAAATCCAGTATGTAAGTGAATCATTTAAAGATGACCTCCTTGATCAAGTTCTGGAGGGAAGGTTAGCTGGTGTGAGAGACGATATGTACTGAATAAAGCCATCCATCAAATCAGTAAATTGCAATATCCAGGAGTATCCAGCTCTTTATCCACTCAGTAACAATTAAAGATTGTACGATACCACTTTGTCTTTTCCGATACAGATATCGAAACCTTGAGTCGATATTTCTTCTGTAAAAAAGATGTTTTTAATTGAGGTGCTTCCCTTAAGATGTGCATCTCAAAGTAGGCTATCCTGCTCGAAGTACTTAATCATGGTACTACTATAACGGGAAGAAGTACACACCTGACATCACATTACATTGGGGGTGGGTGATATGGAAAAAATATTATCTCACAATAGTTCAAGAAACTTTCATGATGCACAATATGCATCAAGATATTTAGTTTTTCTGACATTGAATAAGTTGGAACAGACAAAATAGAGCCTGTAGTGCCACATATAAAAATATAATAACAATATTAATGATAATAATAAGAAGAATAAACAACCTACAACTACAATGACTGTTATTGAATGTTTTACAAACTGCACTGCACTAAATCCAATTAAACAGTCCTAATTATGCTCACTTTGTAAAGAAATGTAGTTAATCAGTGTTCTTTAAGTACTGACGATATCCACAATATGCTCCTAAAAGCGTACTGTGAAATAATATGTCACAATAATGAAATAATGTTATCATGTTGCCCCTCTACATCACATCACATAAAGTGTGTGAGTGAGTGCTGTCTCAGGATAGATTTGTTACAGGATTGAATCAGATTCATTCTTTATCCCATCCAGCATTTTATGCTAATATTGGCCTGATATTGATGCACATCGATACCGATATGCCTTGACTATTCACAACACATTCATGTCCTTAAATACACAGTATCACACTATAATGCCTATGTGAAATGTATGAAATGTAGACAGGTGAAAACAAATAAAAATGCTGGCTGGCCCATGTTCTGTAGGCTCTACAGATCGCTGGACGAGTGATGAGTTTTCAAATGACTAATTTGATTAGTAGGTGATCGAAAGTCTTTAGTGTGATTCTCACTTGCTGTGCCTTGACTGAACTGTTGTTCTGTTGTTCTCTGCTGAATCTCACTCTATCTTCACGGCATTTAGGCATGCGTGATATGATATACTGGATTGGTAACGGCAATGGAAACTGACAGTGCCAGTGTTCCAGTGCATGAATCATGGACTGATCAAACAATTTCATACATCACGATTGTGTGCCGTTTTTTTTTGCAAGTGCTAGATAATAGTCTACTCCACAGTCGACAATAGGCTCAGACCTTATTACTGTTGTGTTCCTTTTTAGGATGCACCGATGTGGTTATTGTGGGCCAATGCTGATATCTGATAATTTTCATGTACATATTTGCTGATATGGACACATAAAAAATTATAAAATGTAGAAATTGGGATTAAATGCACCTGTATTACACTTACGTACCATGTTTTGTACGAGCTTACAAATGCAGTAATATGATAGTTTAGCACAGTAGCCCAGCATGGCCTACACATTCTGCTCTTCCACAGAACAATAAATACGTCATCAAGATTTGGTTTGAAATATCGGTCAAATCTAAACATCTGTCCAATGCCAATTTTTGCTTCTTTAGCCGAATATCTATTGATGACGATATAAATCAGATATTATTACACTTCTTACTTTTATGAATTTGTTTTGTTCTCTTTTTAGTTGATATGTATGATGATATGTAGACACAAACACGTTACTTCATACATCAAGGAATGATCCAAGGCAGTTCCACACAATGAAGTATATAGATTTTAGACTGAAGAACCCAAGAGCACTTGTACTGGATCGGTGCTCGGTATCAGCCGATATTCTCAGTTCAGCTAATGAAATTGAGAGAGAAAAAAATGGGGTCAGTTCATCCCTAACAGCATCACAGAGTATACAGGCAAGCAAAAGTGGGCTCCAACAAATTAGTTGTAATTATCAGTTGTAATTCCAATATCGAGTCAATGATAATAATAATTCAGTTTTCCCATTTATGGGCGAATAATATAGGCTCCTAATATGCTATGCATCCCTATTCTATACTGTAGTTTATAACCTCTGCTTTGGTGCTAATCAGTCTTGGTCTCCTGGTCACATCTCCTGACTGAAAGTTCAGACAGGCTCAATGGTCTGCAGCAGAGCAGGGCAGCATTACAATAGATAGAGCTGAAGTTGTGTTCTCAAAACTGGGAGTCAAACTTGATTTCATATGCCGGACAGCTCGGCCTTGGTCACAGGAATGCTCTTACGGGTCAGTGCTGAATTTGGTATACCACATCCCTCGGCCTGTTAGTCATGCTTCTTATACAAAAGGGAATGACATTCTGTATTTGAGCGTAGATGAAAGCTGTGTGATATAAGCCTGCCCTCAGGGAAGCTTTTCAGTGTAGTCTATTTGGGATGGGCTCTACTCTATTATAAAAAGTAGCATAGCTCAGAAAATGAGGATGTAGTTACCTGCAGTATAATGAACTGACCTGTCAATGCTGCGTCCTCAAATGTATTCTCTCGCTTTAGCGTGCTTTACAGAACGTTGGCAAACAATTCTGCTTTCAACTGTCCCAATACGTAAATTATTCAGATTAGATTGCTACATCAATTTTAAGTCACAAATGCTGCTGAGCTAGTCCAGGCTTGGCGTCCTGGTGGGGCATGGACAGACTCGGTTCGACCTGAGAAGACGACAAGCCAGAGAGGTATGAGAAGATTATGATTTGCTTAAAGCTACACTGTGTAAGTTTTGGGAATTTGGAGACCTCTCTGGTGGAAATCTGTAATTGCATGCAACATGCGGAAAAACAATTTGTAACATTGGTTGTGCTTCGGACCCCTTTACCTGAGCGGAGGAATCTGATGATTTGGAGTGCCTTAAAAGAGTGATGAAAGAGAACTCAGTCACAACTAGGTGAAGAACATGTCTTCTGATTATGTGAATTGAATGAATTATGTGATTATGTGAGTGAATTGTCTACTACTGTCATCTTTATCAGTATAATGTTGATTTTTTTGGGCCCTTTCATTCAAAAGAGGATTTGTCATGAAAAACAGCTCTAGACCATTATCCATGCTCCACCACCCCTTATTGTTGGCACCATGTATTCTGGTACATAGCGTTCTCCTGGCATCTGCGCAACCCAGATTTTCATCAGACTGGCAGATAGTGAAGCGAAATTCATGACTCCAGAGAACACATTTGCACTGCTCCAGAGCCCAGTGGTGGCTTTACACCACCCCAACCATCACTTGGCATTGCACATAGTGACCTTAGGCTTGTGTACAGCTGCTCAGCCATGGAAAACCATTTCATGAAGCTCCTAAAAATATTTTATTTGATTATATTTATTCAAAAAATTACTGGCAGAATGGCCACTAGGGGTCCTACAGCAAGAAGTTCATTCAGTTATGTGTTTTTTTACCTACTTACAAAATAAATAGAATCTAAATTGAAAACATCTTAAAAACTAAGTGGTGCAAGCCATTTTCTTTTTTAGAAAGAGTGGAATTTTTTCTATAAAGCTTGTACAGCCCGCAGCAGTAGCCTTGAAAAAACACAATTGTGGCCGGAGCCTGGATACATCAAGAGAGGCAGTAGGCTATGCACAAGCATGTGGTTGTACAATAAATGTTTGTTAGGGAAACTTTCAGTTAAGGCTTTTGTAGATAAGCTAATGCACAGATGTATGAAAGCCGTTGTTCAAATGTGATCATGCTTATTGGTCCACTTTGGGTGAAGTGATTAATTGTGCCGTGTGCATTGATCCTTTCAAAATGTTCCCATTGATTGTTCTGA